GAAGGTTAACACAGTAAAACTTAGTTGGACCTTTTTTTACTAGGATTATTTAAACATTAAGGGAATTCCCGTACCCCCATCATGAAGAAATCTTTGCAGAGAAAATTTTCTGGAACACCTTTCACTACGACTTAACTTTTATGATTCAATTCTACTTCCAGTCTGAATGTTTTCACCTCAGAGTCTTGGGTACTAAATTTATTGAGTTAAAACTGGGTTTTACTACTTTAGCTCAAAATGGAAATTACCAGCACCACAGGAGATCAAAATTAAGAACTCTAGGAAAATGAAGTAGAAAAATAATATTTTATTGTAAAGTGCTTAAAGGTAATCTATATTGAACCTTAAAAAGTTAGGAATATTTTTGAACTTACATAAGAGGAAGTTGGGTCTAACCCATTAATATAATATAAAAAAATTGAAACAAATAAAAGTAAAAAAATGGGAAAAGCTGCTTGGAATAATTTTTATGGAATCGAACCTGATATAGAATGCATTATTTTGAGGTAGTCACTTTGTCATCGTGCAAAAAGTGAAGATTGTTAGGTTTCATTTCCAATATATTGGAATCAGATTCTTCAAAGATTTCATTCTGAAATTTTGAAAACATAGAAATTAAGGATTGAAACAAAACAAAAATTAAAAAATAAGTAATAGGTGAAAAAAATGCTTGAGTTTTTTCAATTTGAGTTTCTTATGCCACACATGTCAAAATTGTCATGTTAATATGAAGGAGGAATGTTTATTTCTTCTCTCATGAAACTCGTTTATTCGAGTATTGTTTTAAAAACTATAGAATAGAGCTACGGCATTCTTGCTTTAAATAGCAAACAGTATTTGCGTCATTTATAGATTTTAAGCTTTAAGAAGTTCAGTTGATTGCCACATGTGTATAATCATTCAGATCTCTGTACCTCCACCAACAAAATTTTATACCCATCTGGTTGGGAATCGGCAATATACATCTGCCCAAAAAAAAGTGGACAGTTCTAGATATTTTCAGGCAACATTAGGTATATTTATATCTACTCTACTTTATTTAAATTAAAGGACAACAAATTTAACAAGTTAATGTAGCCTTTTTTCCATACATCCACCAGATAAAAAGCCTTTCTTTCTGCTAGCTAAGAAAAATGCAAAAAAAAGAAGAAATAAGACTTGAAAAAGACTTTCTTCATGAGAACTTTTGATGTTTTCAAAAGGAATTTGCTACTTTCGATGGGTTATGTTGCAATTTTCTATAGATTAACCACAATAATAATTGAATGATAGGCAAATCTAAGGACTTTGCTACGTTAACACTCTTTATTACCTGATTTAATTAAGATTTAATTTGGTCATTTGCTGCACATCCATTTACAGTAAATTACGTACTACTAAACTGCTTTAATTGGATGAGCATACTTACAGAATCCATCAATACTGAAATAGCATCTTTTTCTGCATTTCCTCTGCGCAAAGCGGGCAAAGAAAGAGCCGAAGAAAATGCCATCCTGACTGACGTATCTGAGGCGGTCATTTCTGATATGAGCTGATCATTTATTCTTTCTAGTACCCTAAGAAAGGAGTAAAGAAAAAGTATGAAAAAGTAAAGAAAAAATATGTTTTTACTTTTAAGAAGTTGGATTAGCAAAATTAGAAAGGAGCTGACTACAGAGAGGAAACGTTGCGGTAACAAGAAATCTTATTCCTCTCACTATCACTACCCATATCATGCTTTCAGGTGTTTGTCAAGTATTTTAGCACTGAACAGCAAGTTCCAATGTCACAACAATACATTTTGGAAGTGAGTCCTTCAGATATATCGGGTTTTTACAAAAGAGTAAAACTAACACAAGCACATGTATCATTTTTAGGGCAAGAGGGAGATGTTTCTAAAGCCAAGACTTTTCACCCAATTTTAGATTTTTTGAGGGCATGTAAGTTTTTTTTAAAAAATTGAAGTCAGGGTGTAAAAAAGTAGTTTGTCAAAGACAAGCCTCCTTCACGAGAATTTACTTTCCACACACAAATTCAACATGTTGATTACCGGTGGAACTTAATCTTTTCGCATCCAGCGAGTATGAAAAATAAAAAGTAGTCTGTTGGCTAAACAAAAAAATCCTGCACTTTTTTATTGGTATGGGTCACTTTCAGGGCACAATTTTAAATTAATCACAAAAGCAATTATTGAGCAAGAGCCACTCTGAGAACCACAACTCTGATGAGTTGATTTATTATTGTCGCACTAAAATTGATCATATTTATTGATTTTTAAAGAAATTGAAGTCAAGGTAAAGTTGGAGAGAATTTGCATTTGTGGATTTTAGATAATGAGCTATTCCATGATAGTTTCAGATTTTTTGAGGGGCTATGAGTCAAACCTGTATGAGTGATCAAAAGAGCAGGGGTACTATTGATGCTTTTTGATAGGTACCCAGAATGGAGTTGTTCGATCGTAAATTTTTAACAGCTCAAGTTTTGTTCAGATGGATGAAATGAGTAGATACTATAAAGTGCTAACCTCAGTTGTCTCATCAATTGCTTTATCACTGGATTTTGACTTAAAATTAGCTTATCTTGCGTTATATACTTACTCCTTGTCTTTCAGAAGTTGAGCATTCTGTTGCTTCATTGATTTATATTTTTGAGTGAGGTTACTCTTCTGACGATGCGGTGGTAAGTATTTAGAGCTAGATGCACTTGAGTTACATGGCGACTCCTTGAGAGGGTTATTTATCAAACTATGCTGGTACAGCTCAGATAAAAATGGCTCTCTGATTTTTTGGTTTTCTTTGAGCTGCAAGAAAAAAACCCAACATAAGTACTGGTTAACATGAAACATGTATTGCCTGCACTTAATTTCGATTGCTGAAGTGCAAAACCATGTATCTCTGTTTGCAAAGTTTCTGACTTTGCAGACATCCTATCATAATTTACTTTTTCTTTTGAAATTTACGTAATGAAATTTCTTGAAAACTTCCTTGAATTTTCATCTGTTAACAAAATGTTTCTTTTTGAAAATTTAAAATATGAGCAGAAATTCTGAAATGCTGTGATAGAGATGCGTGGTTTTGCAAATTATGGTCATCAATTTTGCTTTCGCTTACATAGGTATGCTAATTATGTTTTACCTTGAGAAAAGCAAAAACATCATGCATTTCACTGCTTTTTAGTGTCTTTATACTGCTCCAGTGTATGGGATGAAAACTGAGTTTTGTTTATTGAGTGGAAAAGTGAAAATTACTTACTATGAATGTGAGTATTTAATCTCTTAGCGTCTGGTAAGAATAAAGGGACGATTGAATAATAATAAAAGCAAGCAGCAATTGAGGATAGTTGTTTTGTAGAAACTTACCTTTCCATCTAACCTGCAGAAATAATTAGGATTTTCTCCACTTGCACCTTCTACATCAAAGCTAACAGCAACTGAGCGTTTCTTGGGTTGTATGTTAACTTCATTATGATTGTAAGTCTGCTGGCAAAATGATAAAGATGAGAATAAAGTTGGAGACTAGTACATTCTGTGATCAAAAAAAAAGGTTAGACAAATTTTGATTGTTGCCATATGAAATTACCTATTCACTATTCAAGGTGCCCTGCTAACACCCTCAGAGTTGGGCAGGCGGGTGGTTGGCTTTTAGGCTAGCTTCGCAAGCCTTCATGACATGGTTGATTTGTATTATGATTTTTCAGCATTCCTGTTAAAATTTTGTACTTTTAAAAGCTTAGTGTTAGCCAAAGATTGTTGAAAACAATGTAACGTTGATAGTAATGATTGTATGTTTCAAAATTGAAAGTTGGAATTTGTGATGACTTGTGCAATCCCTATAGGGGAGTAAATGTACCAATGGCAAAATAAATAGATAAATTGTTAATACCATCAAAATTGATTATTTTCTTCATTAGTTCTATAGTTCTTCTTTAATTTATTTTTTCCTGTGATTACTTGTTTTTTATTTAATTTTTTTATTTGTTTAAAAATTGAAATTCCTGAAATTTCTTTTTTTTAAGGGTCCTTAATGACCCAAGTGTTAGTTGCTCTTTTTCAAGAAATAATGAAAAAACACAATATTGCAAAACTCACAGAGCCTAATTCATTTCTCAGTCTCTTGTTCTCAGCTTCTAAAAGAGAAACAAGTTCTGCTTTTTCTGTAATCTCTTGAAAGTAAGATACTAGTTTGTTGGTTAGCTGACTCATTCCTCCTTGAACTTTGGTTACAATCTCTTCTTTGCTCCTTAACTGTAAGAGAGAACAAAAAAAAATGTAGGTATACAACTTCACACATTACAATGGTACAGTAAGGACCAAGTGCACATGTTGCAGAATTGTGTTTTAACGGTGGCTTTTTACAAATCAGCTAAAAAAGTGGTAGGTCTAAACACAGAATTATACACTGTACAGTGCCTTTTTTTATAATGACACCCCTTAAAAAGAAAATTTGCCTATAACAAAGGAATCATTCGATTACTTGAATTTTCTCAATTATTTATAGTACTGCTTGTGATGAAAAAATGTCTCCATAATAAAAAATTGTTCCGTCTGTTAGCGATTTGTTATACAGAGAGAGAGAGACTGTATTATGACATTAAACTTCGGTATCACTTCAGGAAAAATTGGTTGATATCAAACATACAGTGAATACTCTCCTAGGCATTTTAGAGATAAATTTGCTTTAATGTACACTTTTTCTAACTTCAAAATTATTCGAAAAGAACACAGCCTATTTTATGGAACACTTTATCCTAGGGATCGAAAAATGAGGATTCACACTCAAATCTGAAAAAATTACAAAATTTTCTTTTTTGGCTGAAAATAGGGATGAAGATAAGTATGAATGAAAAAGATAGGTATTTTCATTTTATTTCATGATCATTGATCAACAGAAAAAATACTTACTTCTTTGCGAAGACGCATTACATCAGCAGATACTGACTTGAGCCTCGTCTCTGTGGCTGCATGATTTGCTTGTTCTTGTGCTAGTTCTGCACTCCGTTTGGAGAAGTCTCTTTTCAAATTTGACAGGAGTCCTCTTAGTTGCACGACTTCTTGCTCATTATCATGCAGTTTTTTTGACCAGCCACTGTCCTTCAGTGCAGAAGAAAGAAAAGGCTGTGAGAACAATTAGATCTTAGCTGACCGCCAGTGACGAGTTTTAGTGAAACTCGGCCACAGCTCATCGGCTGTACTACAAACCTAGACTAGGGTAGTAAGAATTTTTCCCCTGAAAACTCCTGCACATGTTTCTACAAAAATTTTAGTGCTGTTAGCAAGTATTTGTAACTTGAAACATAGACACTTCAAGCAGGAATCAGTTCAAATAACTAAATCGTAAGTTAGAAGCAGCTGACTGAGATTGATGAATAATGGGCCACCAGACAAGATTTAAACTACAAAAGAAAACCACATGATTCCTCTTCAAAATTTTTTGTAGAAGACGATTCACGCAAAGGGAAGTTTGGATATCAGATCCTGAATGAGATATTAACAAATATTTTTAAGAAAGATCGAATGGAAGGTAGATGATACAAATGACGTCATATGTATTTTGTCTATTGAGCCAATGTTAATTTTAAACAATAATATCTCGTTTAGGAGATGATTTACAGAATGCCCGTTGTGGGATTCAATTTCTTTGTGCAATTTTGAATAGAATACATGTCGCTTACTGCTTTAATCCGTACCTTGTCTACGGGCCCATTGCACCATTGCAAATATCTATCACATTCATAAAATAATTCTTAGATAATGTCAATAAAAAGAAGAGACATAAATATATTTTTTTTACTAGACGAGAAATCTTCAGTATTTGCTCTTATAGTAATAATAGTAACAACTAGAATTTTAATTTATAGCCAGTATGGATGTATTTAGACTAAAAGGAACTATGTTACACGCAATCTCTATGCACATAGTTTCTTTTAGCATAAATACGTCCACATATCTATCTGATGGCCATTTCTTTCTTCGCTCGAAGTAAAATGTTGTTGGTGAAGAAAGAGCGATTAATGTTGGTGGTATTGATGGCAATAGAAAACCTCCTGTGATTCTCAGATGATTACTCCCCAGATGTACTGATGAATTGAGAATTTTCATGCACTAGTTTAATAATTTTTTGAAAAAGGGGAATGAATTAAACTTCGAAGAACTTTGATAAGATTGCAAGATTTTGAGCCGTCTTCTATTAGCATGGCAAGGCCGTGGCATCCTCATTCTTCAGGCATCACAAAGAGTTCCAATTGTGTCCTCTCTATGACTCACCATACATAATCATGATACCTACACTTTTCCTCTTTTTTTGCTCACTAAACTGAGTACGATCTGTATAAGCCAGATAACTTTTCAAATTTCCATAAAACCATCTGACTAATTAATTAAGCTGCTCTTTACTTCAACAAATTGTCTCTATTAAGATTTAGAAAGTTTCCAACCTGATACCTGGAGTGGTAAAAACATGTACTGTGTAGTTTGATATCTATGGATAAAGCAGATTGACACTTACTTTGACTAACAAACAACTTTTAGCTGACTCTTCTCTGTTCAAAGCTTCGTTGAGTTGAGATGTGAGGTTACTGATGTTTCCCTTTAGTTTGGTGGTTTCATCTCGATAGGATTCGTTGGAGTTTTTCAGTTGCTGGAACTGCGAATAGAAAGAGAGGAAAGTTTCAGGAATAAGAAGGATAAAGCTAAAGGAAATGGTGCTAAAATGTGAAAACAGGCTACATTACTACCGCGCTAAGGAAGAACGCCATATGAACATTCAAGAGTTGCCAAATTTCCTTCGATAAAATGTTTATTTTTCCTTGAAATTTTCAGACGTTTTAGATCAAATTACAAACAAAATTATCTGAGAAATTGGTAGAGAAACATTCAAAAATTTTCCCAAAAATTAATGATTTTCCTCGGGAAATTTGGCATCGCCTGAAGGCTCATACGGCGGTTTTCCATAGCACGGCAGATTAGGCATAAAAAAGCAAGCTCTTTTAACAGCTGAACGAATGACCCATGAAATGCCTTTTACTAGTCTGCTTCATAAGTGGTGACTTTGAGGAAAAGGTGATGTTTTTTCAAAGAAAGTTGCTCTCTTTCTTTGAAGCTAATTTTCTGACGATGGTCTAGTTTAATTTCCTTGAAAGCTGCATTGCAATGATTTCACATATCAAATGGACTGAGTTAAGCAGAAAGGAACCAAGCCACATCAGCTATTGCCTTTGATCGGGCAATTTAATTTTTTACATGAAAACAGCTGTGCGGATTTTCGTTCAAATTTCAGTGAATTTTCTGCAGAATGCAAATGCATGAAGCAAATTTCTTAAAATTTTCCAAGGAATCTGCTCAAACGTTCTTTTGTAAAAAATTAAATTGTTCAGTTAAATTTGACAAGAGCAGATGTAGTTTGGTTCCTTTTTGCTAAACGCGGTCAAAATGGTTACACCCAAAAATAATGCAATAATTCATTTTGTAAAATAAAATTTTAAAAATGAAAGTGGATTTTAAAAAAAAAAATTGAAACTTTAATGTACCTGTTTCGACATTTCATCTATTTTTTTGGCATATTTTGATTTCATATTTTCATTCATTTCAGTTAAGATCACGATTTCATTCTGGAACAAAAAAGGAAATCTATGAACACAGAGAAAATATTTAAGGTTTCACAAAAATGTATGTTTAAGCGGCTTACTCCACAGATGACCTTGGTTTTTCTCTCCCAAGAAACATTTTTCGAAAATCGAATTTTCCCCCGATACATGTCTTTTTTGTGGAAAATCTTACTCTTCCCAGAAATTGGCAGGCAAGTGAGAAAAACTAAGGTCACATTTAAACTCAACCCTAAAATTTGGATGGATCTTACCTACCAATTACCCGGTGTATCCAATTTTCTTAACACACCGGTCTTTCATCGATGGGATCTAAATTTTTGGCTTTCATTTTGGCATTCAAATTTCATATTCAATACTAATATACAAAAATCGTGGTTTAATTTTACGAAAAGGTGAGTCTTTTCCTTTAGCCAAAAGCCTGACAGAAACATAGACCAGATTGATAAAATGTACGTGTGGAAGAAAATAGTTTCTTCAAGTAAATAAAACTGAAAATGCCCAAAAATGATGTTTCAAAAAATCTGCAGCTTGGCAGATTTCTACTTCGAGTTTGGCAGAAAGATTAAATTGACTTTGATGGAATTAAAATAAGCGCATGTATATTATGCATATCGCCGGTGAAAGTCGGCAATCACATAACTCGTTTGCGGTGTCTGAAAATCTCCGCCTCTACGTCATTTTTTTAAAGGAGAGCAAATTGACATTATTTCTTGAAGTTTTTGCAGAATTTTCTTCGCATTGAAAAGAAAAATCATGACAGTTTTAAAGAATTGCTGTTGAGTAGTTTTCCATTTAAAAAATAAAGTATGACAGGAAGTCTGCGACGTCGCAAATCGAGTTATGTGATTGCCGACTTGCACCGTCGATATGTATTATTATTCTCTCCTCTCTGAAAAGTTCCTCAGGGTTTGAGAGATTGGCTAACTTGACTTTTGCGGTACCTTTGCTTGGCTTGAGTTCTCATTTTGTTAAATATCTTGATTAAGTTTGATTAGGAACACCCTTTTCACAAATTTCTTCTCTACAAAGGTTTCAAGATAAACATGAGTCAGGAAAACTTAGTTTTGAGTGAGGCTTTGTATGTTTAATTTTAAATAGGAATGGATGAAATGCTGTCATTCATACAGCTGTTTCAATTGACTTGTTAATGGAGAGGAGTTTCAATGCATTAAAAGAGGCTCCATGAACAATTTTCATATTATAAAAATTAGCAGGAAACTTCACTTGTTTGGACTTGAGCTGTTGCCTGTAGTCATTTGCTTGTTGAACAAAGTTGTGATAGGACTTTTCCACCAATTTAAGCTGTTCAATAACTATTTCTGTCCTGTTTATTCCATTTCCTTCCCTGTTGATCTTTGACAGTATGCTCGGTTCATCCTATGAATAGAAAGAATAAATTAGGAGAGCAATGAAAATTTGAAATGAGAAAGTAAAGGTAAATAATGTGGCAAAATAGGGAGCAACAATTAACCTCGACAGATACTTCAGTGCCTTTCGTACGGATGTATTTTTGCACCCTTTAAGTGGAACGAGACTTCTTAATCAGCTACTCTACAATCTGTTACTTAAATAGCCCATTCTGGATTGGTTGATCGTTCCTTGCAGTATTTAAGAGCTTTTATTCTAAGTCATCGGTAATTAGGAAGAAAAATTTGACCAGAGAAACAAGCAAGAAAAATTTCATAAAAACAAAGGAAATTACATATTTTGTTTCAAGTCACAATTTAGGATAATTTCACTTAAATCGTTGCCTCAAGTTCAGAAAATATAAACAGGTAACCACTTTGAACCATCCCAATGATATATGTAGAATTTGAAAAAATAACATTGATGCTTCTAATTTAAATTGAAGTGAGCCGACAGTCTCAGAAGCCCAATATGCAAATTTTATGTTGGGCTACTAAGACTTTCTCCTTAAATTGTAGGGCTAAAAGTGCTTGCCTTGCTTACCCTTTTGCATGTCACTATGAATTATACATCTGCTCTATGGAGATGAACAAAGGAGATATGTAAATGTCTGCCTGAAGTCTTGAAACAGAAAAAAAAAGGGTGAAGGAAACTTAGACTTTATTCATACGGTGTGAAGAAGTTCCACCACATTGATTTGAAAGGATATTGATGAGAAAAGTCACAAGTGTACCTGTAATTGGATATTGTTCAGTTCTTTCAGTAAAACAACGAAGTTGTTTTCCAAAATTGAGTTTGCTTTCATTATTTCCGACAGTTTTTTTTGCGTATCCTTCAGCATTGCTTCATTTTCTTGGGCCTGAAATAAATTATAACCAATACATGTGAAACATGGTTATTTACACAATTGATGAAATTAGATAAATAGGTGACAAGTAAAAAACAAGAATACTTGGCTTCAAGGCAACATGTAAAAAACAGTAGTTTAAAATTTTTAGATACGTTGTAAGTTACATATGATATGAAATCCATTACTTAACAACCATTTGGAAAGAAAGCGATTTCTGATAATCATTCTGAATGTGATTGTAAACATTTAATTTTAAAATTTGTGTGAGCGATGACTTAGAAAGTTTGCAACACCACCAGAGAATGGCTGGATCAGAACAGAACATTAAAGTTTTGTATTCATTAGTGTATTTTCCCCCGTAATCCAGTATTGATTGATTTGTATTAAAATAGTTTTGAAGATGAACAGCTACCATCCATGATGTTATATCTTCTCTGATAAAAAATTTTTCACTGCAGGAAAAAAAAAAACTTACCGCGGCTAGATCTTGATTTCTTGATTTTTTAATTTCTTCGATCCTTTGACGAAGCATTTCATTTATTTGGTTTTCTTGGTTTATTTCATTCAAAGCTAGGCTGTTCTTCAAACTCAAGTCTTCATTTTGTCTCTTTAGTGTATTTACTTCTTCAGAAAGGTATTTCAGCTTGATTTTAGTTTCCTGAGTGTAATTGTCAAAAAATTAAAGAAGTAGAGTAAAGTATATGAAAAATAAAATTTAGAAAAGAAGGTGAAATAAAATAAAAACTGCGCTGCATGCAGTTAACCAAGAGGCAACTCCTAAGCATATTTTTCTGAAGGAGGGTGTGTTGTCGGTTTAAAAAACTGCTCAATCCCCTGCCCCCTTCCCCCCTCAACTTTCAAACTCAGCCATTCCGAAGACGGCTCGGATAATTGTTCTCAAAGTCAATACCAACCTGATCTTAGATAGGTGAGAGCTATGCTCATCCTAAAACTTTCATCTTGATTGCCTTGACTGTCGAGTTGTTGGATAAAGAAGATTTGCAATAAGAAATATTCCGTGAAGTAACCATTAATTTAGAAGAAAAATCGTAATGTTCTCTTTTTCAAATCTCTTGTATCTGTACCTAAGCACTTACTTCATTTTGAGAGTTGATGCTTTCGTTTTCTTTCCGCAGAGACTCAATGTTTTCTTCATACATCCTATTGATGTTTTGAGCTGTGACTAAATCGTTTTCCTTCTCTTCAAGCTGAAATTGAATAAAGCAGATATAGTTGGCTTTGAAAAGCAAAAGAGGTAAAATTTTATTCTTATAATTATTATCACTTGGTGCTGATTTCTACCACTATCTTATTTAAGAAATGAATATTATGAGTCTACTGAATACGATTTTGTGAAGTATCTTGCCCTAAGGTATATTTTCACTCTTTTGTCTCACTATGGACTGACGATCATTCTTCATACTGTGAATGATTATTGAGGGGGATTTTCAGACAGCTTTTTGGTAGGTTTTGGAGGTCTATTGGCAAAAACTGGAAAGCGCTAATCTATCAACTTTTCTTCAACTGTTCAATACTGCAAACCGCATCAAAATCGGAGTTACAATTGGTAGTTAATACCAAAAACTAATTTTTAAGCTGAATCACTTAAAAGAGCATGGGAAAAATTCAAAGGAAAGGAATAGGACTATAAGACGTAACATTAATATGAAGGAGAAAGTAGATATATATTATTGACTTACAGAGCAACGAAGATTAGATGCTGCTTCATTGCTATTCGACAGAGAATCTTCCAATTCTTTCACTTTTGCCTGTGGATAATCAGGAGAAATGACATTAAAGCGAAATGCTTTGTTAAATAAATACAATTATATTGGCGATTGCCTTTCAGAATAAAGGGCTTCCTTGAACTTATTTGTGAGCGTTTCAGTTAAAAATCAGTAATTTTGAAATATTTTAATTTACTTTTAAAATTGGAACGCGGCGGTAGGTACAAATTAATTATCTGACATTAGAAACCAAAATAACAACTTTGCATACTTAAAGCAAATGACATCCTAAATTTTAGTTAGAGGAGAATCTACTGACATGCAAGAGGTATACAGCAAATTAACATAGGTACTACAAAAGCGAACAGCAACAAAGTGGGCACAGATGCTAATACATCTTACGCACATAAAAAAATTTGATTTAATAACACAAGAAAGAAAGGACACACTAAAAAAGCATTGCACAGCTATCAACTTGCAGAATTTGAGGTAATTTTTGGAGGGAAAAAGATTTTCTGGTCATATTTCATTAAGAAAACCAATGTAACAAAGGGATAGGGAGTTATTTTCTTACATAACACGCAGAAGAAGGAGTTACCTACATAATTTTATAATATTGGTGTGTTCAGCATAAAAAATAAAAGAAAATGGGAAACTCTGAGATTCCTGGGTAATACTTCAATCCCTCTTAAATTTCAAATGTGTGGGAAAAGTGAGTGATTTTGGTGGGAAGCTAAGAGAGTAGGTATCTAAAATAGTCATGAAAACTAGGAATGAGATCCAGTATTCATGAGCATGTTAAGGGGAGAACAATTGAAAATCAATTCCAGTTATTCAACAATACAAGGACCGCAAAGCTCGTCTCTGAACCTCAATCATTAAAAGTAACGGTTTAAAGTGACTTCTGAAGACTTGATTTATCCATCAACTGGATAAACTTCTTTTTCATAGAGGGCATAGGTCTTGAATGATACTTGGGAGTTGATCAACTACACAATATTTCTATATTATTCATGCACAACCACAACTTTTTTTCAACGTTTGTTCATTAGATTAATATTGCCATACCTTCTGAGGAGATGATCAGGAAAATTTGAAATAGCAAATCAGTTAATAATTGGTTAGCTTTGCCACACAATGATGACACACCGAATTCAAGCTATTTCACAAAGTACTCTGTCTACCTCTAGAATCTTGATTTCTTCCTGACAGCATTGTAGTTTCCGTTCTGACATTTGATAGTCTTGCTCCAATTCATACACCTTAATCGTCGTATTGATGTTGGTCTCTTGCAATCGTTCTACCCGTTTCTTTTCTTCAGCAACCTTCATTAGATGCACATTGGATTGATGAAAACAAAACAAACATACTTTTGCTTATATTTATAATTAAAAAAACGGATTTCACTGATTAATCACTTGACTATGAAAGAGATACCAGGGTGGAGACAAATTTCTTTCATATCAGTCTTTAGAAAGTGTTCCTACATTTAAAAAAAAAAAAAAAAAAAATACTGAATTACTTGCCATGTGCTGGGCTCATGGGTCTGACACCGAGGTGTCCTCGTTGTATGATACCAAGCTCATGAAGCTATCATCCAGAAACTGACAGGGAATGCATTAAAACTCTTATCTTTAAATGTTCTTCTGGCATCATAGGAACAAATACGTAAAAAAACACATTAGCTAACATCGTCTTGAATTAATATTACTTCAGATTATGATAATATTTGGTGATAATAATATATTAAACATGGTGAAGAAGTAACACATAACAGTATATGCTGAAAGGAGTCACTGAAAGAAATCAGGTCATCTTGAACATTAAGATCAAGTATTTTTCTGCTCCAAAGAAATGAGCATTTTACATGGGCACAATGTGACAATTACAAAAGCGAACAAGACTAAAAATATTGAGATTGAAATTACCTGTTCAATGCAAGCTGTTAAGTTTCCATGGAGAGTTTCAAAATAACTTTTGAATGCCTTAACTCTTTGCGCAAGTGAATGCTAAAATTTGAAGAGAATTAAGAGAGAAACTAATTAGACAATGTTTCTGGAAAGCAAAGTGAGCAGATGCACATCTACATTCATTTTCATCATTACAATATCCATAAAGCATTGAATTTTCTTAGTTTTTTTTACACATGAAAAATTTGCTATGTGGCTCTCTACTAGTATAAAAAATGTGCTACAGGGAAATCAATGCTATACAAGCACGAATGGAAGTGGGAAGACAGAAGAAACCCATATGATGCCCTCAGATATTAATGTTTTTAAAATCTATAAAAAGTTTTCCGTCTTGTTCTTTTTCCCTTCAAAAGGCTGAACGTTTCATTGAGGATATTTCCAGGTCTTCTGTATTGTTTAACTTTGTTTTATTCATATGTAGCAGAAGAAGTTTGAAGATTTTTTTAGTCCGTTCAGTTAATGACAACTGTATTGATGTTCATGTTTTTTAAACATTCCGTTAAAGATGGGATCTTCTGTTTATACTAAGTAAACTGAGTTTATTCTATATATCTTATTTTTAACTTTTTCTGTTTGTGGCTTAGTATTCTTTCTTTCAGTAGTATGCATTTGTATTCATTGTATCATTTGGGCTGTCTCATTCTTCTTTTAATAGATAAATAAATAAAAAGGTCCTTCATCTGGATAATTAGGAGCACCAGTTTTTAATAACATTTTGTGAAGCCCGAAATAGGGTCAACAATGAGCCATTCAAGAGAAGATACCACACAGTTTTCGTTAGCCAAACTGTCTGATGCATAGTTCATTATGTACATACATATCAAGCCGCTAACTCAGCGCACTAGAGCGCTCTGCGACTCCAAATCGCCATAGGAATCGATCCGATAGTTCATTATATTATTCGGAAATATATTTACATTCTATGCTTAGGCAAAATAGTATTTGGATCCTTAATCAAGATTAGTTTTCAAAACATGAAACGTTTCCAGTAAAAGTTTAAACCAAATGCAAACTACACTTTTCACAACGGACAAGTTGTCTTTCCTCTAATGTACGGGCATATCTCTATTTCCATGTAAGTGATGGAATGCATGGGATTACATGGCTAATAGGGCTCGTCTCATGCATCACTTTACGCCCATACATCAAAGGAGCAACAAAATTTGAGAGGAACTTACTGAAGCCTGGCTGCATTTTTCAGCAGGTAAAAATTTTAATCATTGGATAAGACACAAAAGGGAAATACAGATACCAGTAGCTCCAAGCAGAAAAGGTGTAACTACATTAATTTTGCTTCAAAATCTCACTAGAAGACTGCCTGACTACCCCATTGCCTTTCATATAATTCGCAATTTTGTAGTTTTTTTAAGTTCTTTTTTGTAGTTTTGGGTTTGGCATCTCGTGCTAGCTATCACTGCTAATTTTTTTCACACATATAGAGCTTCTCCTAGGCATATGAAGAATAAGAATATCTTGATTTTCCCACCAATGTTAATTAAAACTCTTTTGATCGGAGTTACTGATATGTGACAAAATTTGAGTGAAGACTTTGAGAAAACGAGCTAGAAATTTGGAAAAAACCAAATTGAAATTCTCAAAGATTGTTTTAAAATGATGACATGTTAAGGATTTTAAAATTTCATCTTCAAAGCTTTCTGACTCACTTCCTAGATACCGAAATTTTGTAGAAATCTTTAGAGAGGGAGAGAGAGAAAAAAAAAATGCTACCAAGAGGCGCATGATTTGAGAAACTGACACTGTAACTCAGGATAGTTTGGTAAAATCTCCTTGTAAAACCTCAAAATGAAAGGCTTGAGTGTTTACGAAAAATAAAAAAGGTAACAAAAAGGAGAAGATTGAAATTTTAGCTTAAAAACGCGAGAAGCATTCATATTTATTAAAAAAATACAAGTTCATTAGTAGATAATAAAATTACTGTATCCTCTCCTTTATTTTCTAATGAGAGGAAGCTTGAAGAAGAAAAGGCAAAAAAAGTAAAACTTAACAGGTTTTAAAAACGCATACACATTAAGAAAATACGGTAAGAGAGAAAATACATATCGAACAAAATAAGCATTCGCAAAAAGAATGAAAAATAAAATAATTGGAATGGAAAATAACAGAACAAGAAAAGAAATACAACTAAATAGATTGATAATAAGGAATTTAAATACTTTTGACACAAACAACATAATTTTATAAAATAACAGAAAAAATCAAAATTAACTGCAAAAATAACAGAAAAAAAAACAACTTAAAAACAACCAAGGATGGGAAGGTGCATCATGCATGATTGGAACATGGAATGAAGATTGAGATGGAAGTAGCTCCATCAGGTCCAGTGATAACCGATGTCTGGGGTCGTAAATTAAATAATTAAATTGGGCCAAAAAACGGTCGTTTTTAGGGTCGCATTGGGTCAATATTTCAAATGGTTGGTTTGAAAAAAAAATGAACCAACTTTTTGAAATAAACCAGCTTAAAAAACGAAAAGGGAAATCAAAATTTTACGTGTAAGTAGGAAAATTCATATGGGGCATGTTACATTTTAAAGCGTTTAAGTACAAGTTTCAGTTAAATGCAGACATCAATAATAAAATTGGTAAATTAATATGGCGCATCCAAATGAATAGAGCAGACGTGAGAAATCATCAAGTTCCAATTGAAAATTAAGTGGAGTTTTCAAGGGGTCAGTCCGGCCTTGTTGGCCTCAAAATTACAAATGATCCCTCTTTTCCGGAATTTAAGTATAAGTTTCAATTAGATGCATTGAGAAAAAATTGATGAATTAAGAGGGAGTAAAAAATTAAAATTTCAAAGGGTAAAGCCTTTTAGGTTTGGCCTCTGGTTTTATAACAGGTATCCCCCCCCCCCCATCCCTATGCATGCATATCTTAAAGATGATGCTGGCTCAGAAAACCATTGAGTTGATTTGATGCTGTGAGGAGAAACATAGAAATACATCGGGTGAATGCTATGACAGTTTTGAATTGGAACTTATGACTAACAGCTCTAAATAACATTTATTGGGAAAGATATAAGAAAAGATAACAGAGTAAACCGATCTTAATAAAAGGCTTATATATAGTCGCATTTTGAAATATTTTGGATGGCATTTGAGCACTTTTTTCATGAAAAAGTAGGCAGTAATTGTAGGACGATGAATCGCATCACATGTTTAAATTAAAGTATACACAGAGATATCCTAATAAATTTTGACTCAAGAAAGGTGTAATTCAAACATTAACTGCATTCTTTTTGTATTCATACTGAGATTCAAATAAACTCCACAGGTACCAAAAACTGCACTCTTTGGAGCTTTTCTTGAATATTAATTGCAGTTTCGGACACTCTTTCTTGAACCATCATGAATGTATGGACCCAAGTCATATCTCATATTTATAATAACTAGTTGCTTACATACACTTTGACTGGACTTTTATTTTCTATGACGATGTAATTAATTTCTTATTATTACCTACCAGTTTATTATCTCTCTTTTTCCAAAAAGGAATTTGATATGATCATTATGAATGAGGAGAATATCGAATACTTAGGGAAAGGTTTTAAGGGATCAGAAAAGTCATATTTGATTATCAGGGGCAGTAATGACTAGCAAGTCTCATCTACACACATGTCTTACATTTACGCATCGAAGGAATGACTTAAAGTTAATTTTTAAGTATAATGCTCAGAAAGCAAAAAAAAAAAAAAAAAACCCAACCTAAAAAAAGAGAGCAACTCAAAAAATAGGCTACGGTCAATACCATTGTCTTCCTTGTTACCTGAACTGGAGGGCTATGGGTTTATACAATGAAACTACAATGCGCATTCTGGCTACACGTACGTCAAGCATGTTCTAATGTAAAATTACCTTCAGAGGAAGGTTGCCCATTTTTATTTTTAATGCTTCTTGCGGAATCATAAAGCTCTAGCTATAAAGCAAAGACTCTGCTGTGGGGAATATACTGCTTCTCAAATTCTCACTCATTCTTGTACACTTTGCTTTGTGTAAACTTTCCATTTTTTTTTTTTTTTTAATAAACCATCATAATATCAAGATAAGCACGGTATATTTGATATATTAACCTGTGATGTTCCGATTGGCGGAATACAAAGAAAATGGTAAAAACCGCAGCCTTACCATGAGCCCTAATGGAGGAAAAATTGAGAACTTACAAATTTAAAAAAATGTTCTGAATGTATTATTCCTTGTGATATACAAATCGAACGTGAAACTGTTTAAAAATCTCCACTCCTATTTTATTTTGTTAAAAGAAAAAAAGAAATAATTCAGATTTCAGAATTTATCTCGCACAGAGAAGAAAAATTACGGAAGTGTTTATGAATTGTCGAGGAGTTCTCCGTCTAAAAAATAAAGTATGACAGGAACTTTGCAACGTCGCAAACCAAAATTTCAAAATCAACATTCAATATTAATATCTCACTATTTGTAATAATCAATCCATTATTTTTCCTGATTCATTAATACTAGTTAATTTTACTTTACACTATTATTACTACTAAATTGAGCCAATTACTTTTGAAGCAAATGTTAAATATCAAATTTATCTCTCATGAGGCAGCAGCAAACTAGAAAAAATTACAGCCATTTAAATACGCAAGCAATGAACTGTCACAAGTTATCTTACACTACTGATTCAGTTAAAAATGAGAATCACACCTCAAAACTAGGTAAAAATAATTAATGCAGGGTACACTTGAAGTAATATCCATAATACCTATCGTTTCGGAAAGTACTGAAACTCACTAACGAGATTTTGATTTGACAACAACAAAATCACAAATTTTGATTTACGAGGGTCATCCAAAAAGTAAGGTTCCCTACCTTGTTATTTCCGAACGAAAAGAGATAAATCAAATCGGTAAAAACGTACATATTAGGCATACTCTAAGCTTTAAAACAAACTCAAGTTTTTGAAAATCGGTTGAGGACTTCGCGAGAAAACTCACTTTTACTGAGACGACCCCCCGTCGTCGCGTGCCCACCTCCGAGGTCAGAGTGCGCGGAGAGTCCCTTACTTCAGACTCGGCTTATCGCCTCTAAACATCAAATCGAAAAGGAATTTAAAAGATTTTATCAAGTAGGCCTTACCTTACTTTTTGAGATAGTCTCCGCATCTTTTTTGACATTTCTGGTATCATTACAGCAGCTCTTTCATGCCTTCCGCGTAAAAGGTCTCGTCTTGGCTCCAAAACCGGTCATTGCCAGCGATCTGCACATCCAAATCGGTTGGAAATCGCTTTCCACATTGGGAGTTTTTCATCTCAGGAATAGACGAAAGTCACCTGAGGCTAAATTAAGAGAGTACGGAGGATTGGGGAAAAATTTTACCACGGTAAACAACTGATTTGGATGTGCAGATCGCTGGCAATGACTGGTTTTGGAGCCAAGACGAGACCTTTTACGCGGAAGGCATGAAAGAGCTGCTGTAAAGATACCAGAAATGTCAAAAAAGATGCGGAGACTATCTCAAAAAGTAAGGTAAGGCCTACTTGATAAAATCTTTTAAATTCCTTTTCGATTTGATGTTTAGAGGCGATAAGCCGAGTCTGAAGTAAGGGACTCTCCGCGCACTCTGACCTCGGAGGTGGGCACGCGACGACGGGAGGTCGTCTCAGTAAAATTGAGTTTTCTCGCGAAGTCCTCAACCGATTTTCAAAAACTTGAGTTTGTTTTAAAGCTTAGAGTATGCCTAATATGTACGTTTTTACCGATTTGATTTATCTCTTTTCGTTCGGAAGATACAAGGTAGGGAACCTTACTTTTTGGATGACCCTCGTAATACTATTCACGCACTAGCAAAAAGAATATGAACCACACTAACGTAGCCATCTACATAATATGTACATTTTTTCAAGCCGCTAAAGCACTACAAGGGCACTTGGGTGCTATACAACACCTAATTACCATCGCCTCCCACAGATCATCACACAAATGACACTAATCTTTTTCTCCATCCCCTGCTTCTAACCTTTCAAAGAACGTTCACACTAATTTCTTCCATGAGAAGCCCAATCAAAATCTTGTTTTGATAATTGGATCAAGTTTAACAGATTGCATCGAGTCGCATAAAGCTTGAACAGAGGAAAAGAAGTTCAAAGTAGTATTTGTCCATAAGACTTAATGTTAAGTACAAAGTTTAATGACTTTTTTGACGTTCAAAATATTTTTTCTCAACTTAAGATTTTGACAGGAAAAAACTCACAACTAGATGAATTCAAAACTACTCTCCGCTCCTTTTTTTTTCCTGAATGTGACTTGATGTGTTACTGTTTTCCACGGTCTAACTGATTATCTGCCATCCTCCCCACACATCCTTCCCAAACCAATTTCTTAGCCCGATTGAGCACCTCAAACAACCATTTTTTCCGTTTTTTGACACTGACATTCAAGCCCAATTTCACATACCCTTTACTAATTTTAAACGTCTTGTAATTTGCATCCACTTTGTCCTAAGCTATGACCACTTGATCATTAACAAAGCATAAAGTAACTACAACTTTTCAGCAGGGCGCCCACACCTACACATTTCTTTTTCCATTCCGTCAGCATGTGTAAACGATAGACATTGAATAAGATTAGTGACAAACAACGGCCTAGCTGAAGTCCCTCTGCAATAAAAAACTCAAAAGGTAACCCTTCAAAGGAAGCCATCTGAGCATCCATAAAAACATCAGCAGAAGCTAAACAATCACACTTTAAGTATGAGTTAAGATGAAAAAACAAAAATAGTTAATGTAAGCATCTTTCGGTCACACAAAAGACAAAATTTAAAAGAGCAACCAACAAACAGCTAATAAATTACGGAATAAAAATGACTTCGGTAAAAAATAGGAAGCGTAAATCAAAGTTTAAATATTTTTACAGGTGCCATCTTCTGAAGAAAAAATTTAACATTTGACGACATATTCTTCAAATAAGCTCATTTTGTCACTCCTTTGAGGTGACAGTGTATCTTGATTTCTGCATGAGCCCCAGAGGGATTTATTTGCAAAACAGGGATCACATGGAAATTGGGGTATATCCTTACTCCAGAGGGGGTAACAATTTTTGACGCATTAACTACAGGCATTCATTTAGGAAGCACAGTTTCAAAAATTAGTTTTTTAATCAATTTCTAGAAGATGAGCGAATTTCTGTGGATTTAGTTACCCCACCTTTTCTTAACAACAACTTGCAACTTCTAAGAGAAAACATAGATACTAGAGAAACATAGATACACAGAATAGGCACTTAAAAAATGCAAAAAGCTTCTTGGCGGCTAAAAGTAGCTAACTAAGGACAGAATACAAGGAAGACTTTAAAGGTCATGTTTTGCGATTTTTAAACATTCCGAGAATGGGAGGGTTTAATAAATCTTGTCCATGACCACAATTTACGATTAGACTTGTTAGAACTCACATCAGAAGTGCTGACAGCTCGATGATGATAACTTACTTTTTCAGTTTCCAACAGCATAATCTGCGTAACAGAAAAAAAGAAAAACTATTACCAGAGGAAAGAAAGTGCAAAGTGGAGTTGTACGAACATTCTATGAGGTCAAGTTGGTTTGGGTTTGGTTTGATTGTAAAATTCTGGTTTGGAAATTCACAAACTTTTTAGGTGATTTTTTATTGTTTGGTGGACGCTTGCAATATTATAAGTTTCTTGGCTAAATTTGGCGGAATCGCAGGTGCTCACTAAGTTTAAGATTTTTTTTAAAATACTCACAGTTTGTCACTAGATTTGTCCGATTGAAACAAAATTATTAAGTTACTTTAAATAATTGAGGGAGAAGTGTGAATGGTGCAGGCATCTTGGAGAAGCAAAGAGCTTCCTACCAGCCAGAAAAGGCCAAACTATGGATACAATTCAGTGACCTTTAGACATTCTAAAAATGGTGGAGATAAATTAATTTTGTCAAGGGTTATAACTCACTGATAAATAAACATGCATGTTGTTTATTGTTTTACGAGTTATTGCTGTTTTCTAAAGAATCTTTTCTAATTTTGAAAAGATCTCCACTTTCTGCGGTCTTGAAAGACCTTACATGTTCACTCAGTTTTTTGTGAACAATCGTAGGTAGCCACAGATTTTTCTTGAAATTCAGTGGCTACCTTTGGACAAAATAAAATGAAACGGACCAGTGCAGAATAAGACACATTTAAGTTTAGTACTTTTGGGGGCACTTACTGGATCTTGCATTTGATTTTGATTATGTATTTTCAATTCTTCTGCAGTTTTGCAGACAAACATCATGTATTTGTTTTTACGAAAACGCTAGAAATCTTTGAAGTAACAGTGTCTTTAAATTTAAGTATTGCTCCCGCCGTTAAATTCTGCTCTGGAATTTATCTGATCAATATGACTGCAGCTTAGCCACCTAATGCTAAAAGGCGAATTGAAGACGTTTTTAAAACCCCACAAAGGAGGTCTATCCAGAAAAGCAACCCTCATATCATCTATATGTGAGACAAATAGTTCATTACTTAAATGACAAATGATTCGTTGTGTCTATTTATAATATGCATTAAATTAAACAAGCTCAAAAAGAAAATTTATGACTAAAAAAATACTGAGACATTAAGATATTTAAGTAATAAAAAAGGAATAGTCAAAGATCTTACTTTGTCTTGCGCATCCAAAAGTTTTTCTTCAAATTCAATGTACTTTTCCTTTTGTTTCACCTAAAAAATAAAAAAGAAAGTCTATAAAATCCAGTGATGTCTCTATCTCTATCTACATTCATGGATCCATTCAAATGTTTAAAGTTATATTCAGTGAGGATGGTCATTACTCTACCACAGAAATTTAGCAAAAAGGTCTAACAATCGGAGGTAAACTAATCTCCAAGAGGTATTGTAAATTCAAGGCTTTAAAGAAAGATCAAAACAGTAATAAAAAAATAAAGGGAGTTTTCTTAAAAATATTTCTACAGTGAAGAGGGCCAGAATGCCCTGGCTGATATATCTTGCTTCATATTGCTTCAACTTGCACCTTGTCTAGTGGTATTAAAGAGATTTATTCCTGTCATAATTATTAAAACTTAAAATTAAAGGGCAAAAGAATGAAGAACATGTACTAATAGTACTAATAGGTAAATGTTGATTTTCAACTTAACGGAGGAATTACTTACCAAATTATCAATTTCTTTCCTAAGATCTTTATTCTCAGTTTCCAGAAGACGGATAGTTTCGTGCAACGCATCGATACATTCTTCACGTTTGCTTAGCTGTTGATTAAACAAGAGGACAGAATCAGATTAATGCATACTCACAGAGGAAAAATCAGGCACGGGTACTATTGAGAGTATTAAAATTAAATTCCTGCAGGAAGTTTACAGGTCGATAGTGCCAAATAAAAAACTCAGTCACAATAACAGATAATGTAAGATATTTTTTCACGTAAAGAGAAGAGGTGGATCCTGGGTATATTTGTGATTCAAGACTTACGCATTCTCATTTTCTCATCAGAGTAGTGCTATTTAATTGCAAAACTTCAAGAGAGAACCCTTGAAATTTATCTCCTTTTAGTAATAAGCCTTCATCACAAGACTTTAATCTCATTGATATCAGAAAATGCAAATTTCATTCAGTAGCAGATACTTCTAAAAACCGGTGAACCCTTCAGACGTCACTGTCAAACTTTAGTTTTTATCATGAGGTATACATTGGCTAAGGGTCGATCGTCCTGTGCCAAAAATCTATGAATGGACTATGTACGTAAGCCTACCTTAATCTTGATGTGCTAACATGGAAATAAAACCGGCAGTGGAACTGACTCTTTAACCTCATTTCTCTCTCTGTATGATACAATTAACACACTCTGCAAATGAGCATTTTGAGATGGACTTGTTTACAATTAATGATCAGTTTTATTTTTTATTTGAATAATTTCACTCTTGAAAAATAGAAACAAAGGGAAAATGTTAAATTTGCAACGAGAGCAAGTAATTTACTTACCAAGTTATCTCGTTCCTTCAGAGTCACCGTTAATTCACAGAGGTCTTTCCTTAGTTTCTCCATTACATAATCCGATTTAGAATTCTGTGAATATTCAGATAGGCACATCAAAGTATTAGTATAACGGAGGTGACATTAGTTATAGAGCAGTCTTTAATTGAAACAAGGAAAAAATGTTTGCCATGTTGGTATATAGATTCAATTTTAAATTATTTGATAGATTTTGAACTTTTGTTCTTTTCATGACTGAAAACTGCTCTCCATGGAACTGAAATGCATTGCAATTTTATCAATAATTTCTGGCTATTTCCATGCATTTTCTCCACCCTTACATAGTGAGCAAACATATCCTAACCTCATATTCTCTTCACTACTGCCAGGAAGCCAAATTGGGCCTAACTGTTTAATTCTCTTGCTTCAGAGAGGAATTCACTTTTGCACTCTGGCTAAAGTAGAGCATTTGCTTGGTGGAATAGAGATCTTTTAATGTCAACTCGATGAAAATACCAAATAAAATATACTAAAAATACTACTGTTTCAGATAATATCCAGAAATATACGATCAAAAACTTAACTGATTGCAGAAGGAACTATATAATGATAAAAACTTACAAGAGTTTCAATTTCTTTTTGTAATTTAGTCACACTCTGCTGAGACTGATCAAGCATTGAAGATAACTCTTTAATCCGCATGTCCTTAGCATTCAACTGAAAAATTTAGATCAATCAGAAAAAAATAATTTTTTCTTTTTTTCCCATTAGGAAGAGAGATTGAGGAACACAAATAACTTGAATCAGGGCTAACAGCCAATGAGCTATTAGACAAGATCCGCACTAGGAATAAACGAAACATATTTTCTCATCAAAATTTTGCTTAGAAAACGATTTACGTGACGGAAAGTTTGGAAATCAACTTCTGAACGATATATTAACAAGCATTAACAACAAAGATCAAACAGAGGTCAAATTATCTGCATACAAGTCATATGTATTTTTGCCCTTTAACCAATGTTAACTGTAAATAAACGACCATCTGCACTTCCTGTTATGCGACACCTTTTTCTCGAGAGATTTTGAGCAGAAAACATGTTGCGTAGTGCTTTAATTCGTACTTCATCTAGTGTTCCATTCTATAATGACAAGCTATCCTAAATAAACCATGAATAACTTCCTTAGATTTAAGCTTCGACTAAAATGTGATGTACCTCATGCATTCTCTGCAATCACTGTACTAAGAAACATTTCAGTCGAACTATTGCACTGAAAAAGTTACAGGCTTCAATTTTTATTCGTGTACTTAAGAAAATAATAACAATAAAAATAAATAAATACAAAACATTCAAAGTCCTTTGTCTGCTTTCGCCTAGTATGATGAGAAATATATCACTTTTGATCACGCAAATTAATAAAAGTTAAATTATTTTCATGTAGAAAAAAGAGAAAATTTTGCACTGTATTTTACAGAGTTTTTTTGTGCCATGTTCCTGTTGGACCATGAATCAAATATTAATGGATTGAAGGCTAAAAAATCTGTTCCATGAAATCAGAAAAGACTTTGAATAAACTACTTAAAATACCTTTTCATTGACAAAATATGCTTTCTCATTCAGTTCATCCTGAGCTATAGACTTTTCAATTAGGGCAGCATTCTGAAACAGTCAAACCGAACAATAAAAAAAAAATAAAGGAGGACATTAGGAGGACTTATTTCAGAAGGAAAAGGATTTCAGAAGGAAAAGAGGGTAATTGGACAAGACCACCTCATGAGGGGATCGTTTTCTGCAGCCATATTCACGGTCACTTTTATAACATGAGGGTTTCTGCGACCAATGTATTTCTTACAGCAGCCTTGAAGTTAAAAGAATGACTAAGCATACTACACTTAATGTCATTCTTTAAAGCCTAGCGCTTTATATTCTGTGGTGCCAGTAATGGTCGTCAGCAGCATGCATGTTGTTACAATATAGAGCAGTTCTGCTGCATTTGGACTGCAAAATTCGAGATTCAATGATATGAAGTTTAGTTACCTTAGAGACCCCAGTATGCTACAATGAACTCTCCCTCTCGATGCATTCCGACTTAGTGAGGTTTGGCTGTAGAGGAAAAAGAGAGAAAACTAACATTGCTAAAAAAAACAAAAAAACATTACCTTCTCCTCTTGAGCAATCGTAAACAGTTGTTTTATCCTTGACAGTTCTTTATTCTGGAAAAAAAAGGAAAAGGAACATAAAATAAGAGCATATTTACTTCTTATTTTTCAAGAAAACAGCAGATCTCAACATTTTTTCTTGATGAATAAGCTTGATTAATGTTGATAATAATTGTTCTCCTTGACTCATAATGACTTGAGATGTTCGAAAGCATATAGAAAAAATTATTATCACGGAGAAAATAACATTTAAAGTTTGCAAATCAGAAAAAGCTGTGTTGCTAAACTAATTATGACTGGAACTCAGGGAATAATATTGATGCGCATTAGTTCACATTTTACTTTGGGAGAAAGTTCAGAATGAAAATATTTTAATTTATACAGAGGAGTTACCACAGTTTCATTTTCTTGTCTTCCATTCAAATTTAAACTGACCATTGTTTGATCTTGTGAGTCCTTCCAATCAATTTTTCTCAATTTATATTTTTGCTTGAAACTGGAGATGTGCAGAGTTTGGTTGAGTGCTGTAGTATAGCGCATGCAAGTGCTTTAACAATTTTAAGATTTTGCAACGAGTTGTGGTCGAAACATCTTCCTACCTCCAATGAGGCAGGAATCCAGGGCTCATCAGCAAAATGGACTTTGCTCTCTTTGTTTCAAGATATCTCTAGCATGATTAAAATCATTGATCCGCCTTCAAGCTTCGGAGGTAGGTAATTGCTCACATGGAAGATAAAATTTAAATAAGAAAAAGAAGGAGAAAAAAATTTAGGATTTGATTTGATGACAGGAAAAACATACCTGGCATTCCACTGTCTTAATAAAAGCATCCTTCTCTTTTTCAAGAGCAGAAATTTTTGATTCCAATTTTGTGACAGCACTAAGATCCTGCAGACAGAAGGGAAATTATTACGAATGTTATGCTGAGGAGAAACTCTTCATGAACAAAAAAATTGTGTGGACTGAGCTTTGAATATGAGGCACACATGAAAAAATAGAATTACTGACCATAGCAAATAAAGTAAAACTTCAATTTAACGTCCCTAGGAATCGATGAAAACAAATTTACCATGAAAATATCTGTAAATAATTTTGACAGCAGATGCATTCCTAAGACGAATAAGATATTGGGCACATCTTTACTTTGTAACATTGTCTATGCATATTCTTTCTTCTACAAATCGATTTCAAAAGTGCAAAACTATGTATCTCTGTTTGCAATGTTGCAGACTTCCTGTCATCCTTTACTTTTTCTCAGGAAAACAAGGCATCGTAAAAACATGAAAACTTCCTTGATTAATCTTTTCTGCTAACAGAAATGTCAACATAAATTTCAAGCTACATTGTTGGCATTTTTTTATGCAAAAAAATAAAAAGGAAGTGGATATTTTGAAACACCACAATGGAGATACATAATATTGCAAAAAAATTGCGCCATCAAAATATTTTTTGTAAAATGTTGGTGTGGAAACGGTACGTGTTCCACTTTCCAGAAGTGGCTAAATTCAATATTTTTACCTGAGTTTTTTTGAGATGTGAGACTTGTAATTTTAAATCATCTATCATTTTTTCTGCACAGCTTTTGTAATTTTCAAAGTCTTGCAACTGAAACAAAACAAACTTTGCTTGTAAGAGATAGAGAAAAAATCCAAAAAATGTACAAAATAGTCAAAAGGATAATGGCAAAGGATTATTTAGAAACTTTAGAATCCTACAAAGAATTTTGCAAAAGGTAAAATAATCTGAATTTTTCAAAAGAATAGTGTTCAATAATGGAGACTAATAATAAAAGTAAAAGTAAATCATCTGCGGATGGGGAAAAATTTTAAAACACATGATACTGTGCTTGACTATGCATCTTATGGGTTTTAAAAATTTCTGATTTCCCCGACGTATTTTTAGTGCCATTTCACACATGCAATAATTCTCCTAGGTTATTTGTATTTCTCATGTGCAACACACTCATTAGTCATTAGTGACAAAATTTAGAAGATAATAAAAATGACTCTGGTTCTAAAATGTTGGGCATTTGCCATACGACACTTCAGAGGATTGTGATTGAATGACACTTCTGTTTTAAAAAAAATGATTATGTAACAAACCAAGGCGTTGCAATTAATGATTATTTGATAAAGAATCATTCATTACAACGCCTAGGTTTGTTACCTAATCTTGTTTTTTTTTTATATACTACACTTGATGGAGAAAGTTTCCTGCTTACACTAAAACAGTAAAGTTGGGAGTGTAATTAAATCATAAAATTTTTTTTCTTTTCAAAATTTTTGGTTCATAAACGACTACCACTCTAAAAATATATAAAAACCATACCCTTGAATTCATGTCTTGTTCTGAGTTGCGAAGAAGAGATTTTGTATGCTCGAGTTCAATAGATAATTCTGAAAGACGCCGCTCTGAGTTTTCCATCTGCTTTGAATAGAATACACGTAAATTAATAAGTATTTCAAACAAATTAGAGCATAAATACTCGTAAGTACGAAAAAGAAGCAGAAAATACAAATATGATGAGAGAGAGAGGAACAAGGAACGATAGAGAATATTTATTGAAACTTCTCATTAAGCCAAGCTGGCAATTTCATGAACACATCAATGGTAAAACTCCCAAACCACTGTTCTCATTTGCGATGTTCAAAAATGTCCGCTCCCATTTTTATTCTTTTTGAAGGAGCAGGAATCAACATCATTCCTCGAAGTTTTTTCAGAATTTACTTCGCACAGAGAAGAAAAATCATGGAAATTTTGAGGAATTGAAAGAAATTTTACATTTTGATGACTGACAAAAGAGATGAGGTCCTGATTGATTTACATTACAAAAAAAAAAAAAAAAAAAAAAAAAAAAAAAAATGGTTAAGAATTGTGGCAAATAAAAAACTGACTCACTTCATTATCTGTGCTTGTTGACTGATCTTTGCTAGTGACCATTTCAGTTGAGTGGTTACTTTGGTCTCCATGCTCTTTGCGACTACTATTCCATGATTTATTAGGAGGAACCGGATTCTACAAACAAAACATAAATAAATAAATAAATAGTGAAAGTAGGGGAATTTCTTTTCCATGAAGAACTCATGAAAATAATAATACATTTATTATTTGTACTTTGAGTTTATCGAAAAATCACCTACAATATGGGCGGTTGCGCAGTGCTTTCCAAAAGAGAGCCAAGTGACATGAACTTCAAATAAATAAAAATGAGTTTGAATTTTTATTACTCTAAGAAGTTCATGATTCAATGTAAAAAAAAAATTTTGAGTCACTTTTTGCAAATAAAACAATTTTTATGGGCATTAGATTTTTGGCAAGTGGAGAGGTTCCTCTAGAAAAGGTCAAAATAATTATCCTTAGATTAATTTTTTCTTTAATGTCACTTGGCCCTCTATTGCTAAATGCTGCATATTTACAATCCTTAACTTTGAGAGTTTGACAGTCTAGGTACTATGTATAATTTTATACAAATACTAAAAGGGAAATAAGAAATTTTAAAACAAGAGAGAAAAAGCGTAATAATTACGATTTTGAGAACTTCAGATTTTCACGGATCAGTTATTAATTATTTCAATACGACATAGTTTGAGATTCTGCAAAGGAATTGAAGTATGTAAATAGATTACTTTATTGAAAATTCACAGAATAAAATTCGGTTATTAAACAGTCAAAACAAAGCAATAGTTTTGATTTTGCTAAATTGGTCATCATTTTTCAGCTCCTTCTATGGATTGTGTCAAAGAAATTCTGGAATTACCGGGGGAAACTTTATTTTAATCAATCAATAATACAGAGAAGAAAGAAAGTAGTGGTAAGAAAGAAAAACAGAAAAAAATACCAATAAAATCCTCATATATAATGTAGAATGATGAAGTGCATCATTGTTACGAATAAAGAACTAAGCAACAAGAGAGACTATATGCACGAATGTCCGGAAATGAAGGTTGAAAATACAAATTCTGAGAAAATTGTTACGGCTGAAAAACATATCAATTTAGAAACAAAAAAAAAACAAAAAAAAAAAAAAAAAAAAAAAAAAAACAAACAAACAAACAAACAAACCTGTATCCATTTTAATTCTTTTACATACTGAACATCAATACATGTCATCTTGTTTTGAAAAAAAAAGTTTTGTTTACAATTACATTTACTCCAGTACTCCAAATTATTGCTAAGTGAAAAAGAGTTTAAAAAATTTTTTTTTTTACAGTACTAATTCAGCTATATACAATATTTTGATTGGTTGTAAGATTTAATAGGTTTAGTGATTAGGATCAAAACAAATTGTAAATTCCTTCTTCAATACTTTGGAAAAAAAATAAGATGCATGATTTCCTCATGATTTTTGTTTGAGTTGAAAAGGAGGATGGAGGTAAGAAACTTTACAACAACACTAAAAAATAAGAATGAAAAAGTTGAACAATCTATGTGAACTACTGAGAGAAATTATTTACAATGTGAGTGAATCATTGAAGAGGAATATTTATAACTGACTGCCCTCGAGACAGTGGGAGCTCAAGAGTAGGAGCAGGCAGTCACCCTTTTAAGAGCTGACAGGGACAGAAATAACTCCTCACTGAAAATATACCTCACCCCTCACTCTCCCCTCTGGCAAGCACACATACTGGATCTGAGGACCCATAACTGCTTCCTCCTGGAGATGTCACAAGACACTCTCTTGCTGCTCAGAATATTTTAGACTTTAAGGCGCCTCTTTCAACCTATGGTCAACCCTTGGTCACTTATTTTTGGTTATTGGTTTTTCTCTCTTTTGTTATGCTTCTTTTCTTATCCTCTTTCCTGCATCTGCCTTGCCTTCACTGTCCTATTTTGCTTACTTTTTGTGTAGATTCAGTGTCACTTGTAATTAACAGTGCAATTTGAACGGATTTTACCATAATCAGCCCGACTGTATTTCAATTGCAATTCACCTGTTGCCTCATTTCTACTAAAAGTTTATTTCTTCTTCTTCTTTTTTTTTTTTTTTTTTTTTTTTTTTTTTTTTTAAATCTCACAGAAAAAATCACACCCGCAACAAAACAGCTTGCTCATAAGTATGATTCTTCAATTTTTTCCAAATTTTTGGTACAAATAAATGTTACAGACAAATTCTAAAAATAAAAGAAATGAGATTCAATGGCATTAAAAAATAATTCCAGTTGACTTTGTATGTCCATATAAAGAGAGAACATCTTCAAAATTCTTCAGTTTTCTTAAATACTTCAGTTTTTCTACTTTTGACGGTTTTTAATACTTGGGGTTTTTTTGGATGAGGTACTTTTATCATTAATTCACCCTGGTATTATTGATTTGTCAAGCACCCAAGATTAGATGCCCTTGGCATTTCAACAGTCTTATTTGAGCTTGTCTGAACCCTGTGTTGCGAAGTCACCATGTCCAATTTGTGTCAACCTTGCTGGAAAGTACCTTTAAGGAGCTTGCTTTGCACATGGCATTCGGACCAAGCTTTTCCCATTGCTGTAAAATATCTAATGCATTGTCACCTTCATGCATTACGGTCTGAGTCAACTGAGTTTTTCTTGCTCTGTGTCTTGACGTCCACCCTTCCTCAAATGATGTGCCATTTAATTGTGCCTCTAATACACCAAACTTTGCCTTATTTAGAGTATTCTCATTGCTTTTGAGAGACAAGTGTAGAAATAAACGTAGTCCCACTACATTTCTTGTAACGACAGTAGAAAATTAATCAAAGTTTGTGTACACTCTCTTCCGTTGTGATCTGATTTTTTCTCCAGTAAGGGTCGTACTCACAGTTGTTCCTTAAAAGTTTAGGTTTCCTCAACCAACTAAATTCTTGTGACTAAAGAAGGCCTAAGAGTTTTATTCAGTTATCACTGAATTTTTGTCTTTTTTTCCATAATAAAAAAAACAAAAAAAACAGATTTTTATTGATCCGGGCGCCCATTCTATAATAACTCCCTCCAAGATAGGTAATTCAAAAAATTCATTCTCCTCATTTTAAAAGGATACGGATTGATTTTCATTCCTTTCTTTTTTTTCTTACTTGTTTTAAATTTGATTTTAATGAGAGGCACTTACAGAAGAGGAAGTGGAGGCGTTTTCTAAAATAGACTTCAATTTCTGGTTGGTTGACAGGACGTGATCCAAAGTTGAGAAAATTTTCTCTTTTGTCTGCGGAGTGTCAACATATATACTAGGAATGGAGACCTGGAAAAATAAGATGTCCAAGGTTCATGAAATCAAATCTACTCCTTCAGATGAATCCTATTATAATTGAACGTTGGAAACACACACTTTAAACAGAAAAGACCACATAAAATCAGGAAGAATTAGAGCTTAGAACCCGTTTTATCCTATAGGATTCGGAAAATTTCTCAAATCAACTGTTACCAGGCTTCTAGTGCAAATAAAATGACAAAACATGCAAAGTATAATTTTTATAAACAAATAAAATTAATGTCAGATCCTTCTTGAAATGAATTTTAATACTATCAAAGAAGAGAAAACACTGGACAGAAAGATGAAAATTCGGAAAAATAAAAAATACATACATCTTCATTAGAGCTGGAATGATTTCGTAAAATTGAACTTATATCCTGAAGAACATTCACACAGCCATTATATGATTCATTTGCCAAAACAGTTAAATGGTTTAAANACTCTATAATTTTTATAAACAAATAAAATTAATGTCAGATCCTTCTTGAAATGAATTTTAATACTATCAAAGAAGAGAAAACACTGGACAGAAAGATGAAAATTCGGAAAAATAAAAAATACATACATCTTCATTAGAGCTGGAATGATTTCGTAAAATTGAACTTATATCCTGAAGAACATTCACACAGCCATTATATGATTCATTTGCCAAAACAGTTAAATGGTTTAAATTTCTTATGTGCAAGTTACTTTCACCAAGGTTTGAAGTATCCTGAGACAGAGTACAAATCATCCAATCAAAAATTAATTTTATAAATCAAAATGAAATTCTTATAATATTCTGGGTAATTAAAAATGTAAAACTCCCTTAGTTTACAGTTACAGGTGATCAAACTTTTGGGTAGTGTAACATGCTATATTAATAGCATGTTACACTACCCAGTGCACTACATTGGCAGTTTATTAAAACTGCCGATTCAAAATTGTCTTCTGTTTTTTTCATTGCACTTATAGAAAAGAAACGAGAACCGACAAAAAAAAAAAAAAAAAAAAAAAAAAAAAAATAACCCATTTTCCAGCTTGTCCAACAAATCCGGTAAATCAAGCTTATACCACAATGAGGAGGAAAACCATGGAGTTATGCCATGAACTATCAAGAAGAAAACTCTGAATGCAATTCTTTAAGTTAGAATCTCACAGTTCATGTAGCATTCTTAGAAGCCGATGAGCAATATTTAGGATTTAAATCCCCAGAGTAGTTCCAAAAATCTATGCCAAGTAATCACTTCCACTTCATCAGGAGCTTAATGCTGTGCTCTTAGATAATTTCCTTTGTGTTGAATGATTCCTTAGACCGTTATATTTTATTGAAAGAAAAGTCAAGTGGTCCAGCCGCTGCCATTTAGAAAAGAAGTTTCTGATTTTGAAACATTGAAGGACTGCTGGACATGTGCTCATACATGTGAAAAATACTGGTTTTGAAAATCATTACCTCTTTTGTTAAATACTTCTTCACAATTTTAAGAGTCTCCTCTTTCTTCTTGCGAGTTTCTTGAAGATCGTGCTTCAAACTAAGAATTTTATCTTGATGTTTACTTAATATTCCATTCAAGTCCATATTTTTCAGTTCTTCAAAACTTTTGCCGACCTCAGTGATATGCTCAATGAAGGCTTTCAAAGATTTTTGTATACTGCGATAAGTTTCATACACAATTTCTGTCTACAAAAGAAACAAGAAAAAATCCACTGATTAGGTATTAATTTTACAGCAAAAAAATTATTACCTGTCCGCCAATGGAAAAAAAGAAGAAAAAAAGGAAAAACAATAATTTTCAGTCTATATCTTAGAAATACGAGAAAAAACACTGCGTGGCCTGTACTGTATGTAACAAGATCGTAAAATAGTGCTCAGTTCACACTATTTTTCAGGGCAAATGAAGTAATTGAAAGGAAGCAAGCCACATCAGCTATTGCCAATTTTAACTGGGCAATTTAATTTTTACGAGAAAACGTTTGGAAACGAAGGATCCCTTTGAAAATGTTACGGAATTTGCTTCGTACTATGCAGAAAATTCACTGAAATTTGCACAAAAATCCGCAAAACTGTTTTCATGTAAAAAAAATTTAATTAGCCGATTAAATTTGGCAATAGCTGATGTGGCTTGGTTCCTTTCTGTTTAACGCGGTCCAATTAGAGTAAAACATTTTGAGCTCTAAAGAGCTCTAACTTCCTAGTCATACTTTTCAATCAACTATCTGATCTCTAAATACTATGGAAACTACTATCAAAGATCAGAAATAGCTTCTGGCATGTTAGCGAGAAAGAATCAGCTCAACATCTGATTTAGCAAAAGATATCGTTCTACATTTTTTTACTAGAATTTTAGGCATGACAACTTGGTGGAAATGTTCTCCAGGAAGCTTTTATTGATTGCCTTATATTCACGGTTCAAGCAGAGTCAACATTCAGTAGGTATTTTTTTTCCCCATGAACTGACAATATGAAAACATTTAATTCTGCAATATATTACCTGATTTTTATGCGAGGAATAACCTTCTTTCAACAGAAAAAGTTCTGACTGAACCTCTTCAAAAACTTTCTCAACATTTGATAACAGGTGATTGCAGTTGTTTGTACAACTAAAGTCCTGTACAGGAAAATATTAATAAAAACATTGAAAATGACAAGGATTGACGGAAAATATAGATGAAAGCTGACTAGTAAGGATCATATTAGCATAAATTTTAATTTTAATTACGTTTTCCTACTCACAATAGTTTGATTTCAACAAAAATTGTCTGTTATCTCAGTCTTTTACTTGTGGATGTATAATATGATCCCATGTAAGTCATCACCTAATTCACTTTACTTGAATTGACAAAACTAAATTCGATTCCAGCAGAGAAATGAATAATGAAATGTGATTCAATGCAAGGATGTTGATGCATGAATGCAAAATTCGTTCTTACTTATAGAAAATAGCACATGGAAACTCTAGACACCGGAGAGAACTGAATGGAGAGAGCAAGAAGGAAATGTATTGACAAAATTTTAACAAAGCTCCAGATGCCACAATTATAAGGCTGTTCCTTGGCAAATTTTTTACTAAAACAGCTCAAAAAGGTCTCATTGGAACCATATTCATTCTCTCATACCTCATCCATTCTTTTAAAACTGCTATTGTTGCATTGCTTTTGGAGCAATCTACGTACATTGATATTTCATGAAATCACTCAGAAAGCCACCACCAATGAGAGAAAGGTGTTCTTTATGGAAGAGTTATAGTTTTGACTGAAAATAAAAGTTGATTCACCTGCCCATTCAAACTTGATAAAACCGAGTTTAAATTCTCCTGGATCAATTTGACAGAGTGATGTAAGTCCTGGTTAGTCATCTCAGTGACTGATGAGTTTTCAGAATTGACATCATCAAGCTGTTGAACAAAAAATAATAATACATAATTAGTCAATGTTACGGGAAAGATGTTAAGTTAACCCTAAAATATAATTCCCACTTGATAGAGGTAATAATACTTTCAAAGTCTATATTCTATAAGCATGAGTAAAAATGTTTTTTAAGCAGTGGGTGTTTATTCTACACGCCTGTTTCATCATCGCTAATACATGCAACAAAAACACAGAGTGAGATTTGGACATTGGCTGAGCCTAAGTCCGTATCTTTGTTATTTAAGTTTTCCTCACTGGAGTCCTGGCCGGAAGGTTCCCTCCCAAAAATTGTGACAGTGGTGGCCAAAATATCACAGAACTTTCCAACCTCTAAACGAAAAGGTTTCACTTTGCTACCACATTGGTTTAGTTGAGCTTTCTTTCATGCACCTGTTTCAGTGTTAGAGATCAAGCAAGTTTTTAGGAAAACTTTGTAAATTCTTCAGCTAATTCAAAATTGACAGGTAAAAAAAAAATCACACTGCTAAACAAATTATTTTAATTTTCTTGAATGTTTATTACATCAAGCAAAAGTTTGAAGGTAGCCTTTCATGACTAAAATCTTGAATACAGAAAGTATGACACTTCTTAATCATACAAACAACTCTTAGTTAATCCATATTCCTACTGCAAAGAGAAAGATAAAAAGAAAAAGAAAAGAGAGTTAAAGACTTAAACACATACCAAATTACTTTCTTCTATTTTTCCAAACAATTGTAGAATCTCATGGAGAAGCCTTGACATTATGAGTAATTGTTCATCTAGTGCAAGAACCTGCAAAAAAAAAAAAAAAAATAAATAAAAAAAAAATAAAATAAAAAAAACTCAGATTTGTTTATTTGAAGTAACCTACTTGAGCATGTTTGAGACTCACTAGGGAAATATGCAATTTGTAGCACACAGGAAAATTGATCAAAGAAATGATTTTTCTTGTGTTGGGTCAAATATCTAATCGGAATATTTGTTTCCAATCAAGTTGTAAGACACCATTACTTGTTCTTTGCGCCAAAGCCAAGATTCTGGAAACCATTATCTAAACTGGAAGGTACTTAATGAGGGTAAAATATCGGTTAAATTACTTTCAATGTCGCTCATCCTCAACTGAAATACACTCCGATGAAAGGCTACACCTATGGCATTGATTATTTGAGTTTCTTCATTATAAATCATGTTCTGTTCAAACTGCGGCTTTTTTGAAAAGTACTTGGACTGAAACTTTTTTTACTCAGCCACTAAAGTGCCATAAACCAGGGTTGACTGCGATGAAAAAGAAATTGATAAAATAGAATTGATTGCTATTTACCTTACTTTCTCTTTCTTGAGAAATTTTAGTCGCAGTTTCACTTTCCTTAAATAGATTGACAAAAATAATACTTTCTTCTTCCGACAGTTTGTAGTAGTCCTCAAACTTTTCGAAGAATAAACTTGATGAAATCTGGAACAAAAAAAAACCTGGGATGAGATAAGTACATTGGACTAAGGTGCACAAAGAGCGAGCAAAAGGAGCACAAGGTTGGAGCTGCACAAGGAGTGAGTTAGGAATATGAAATAACAGAGAAACAACTTAAAACGGGACTAAGGACGCAAATAATAAAAAGAAACACATAAAACAAAATAAGAAACCCGGGACGTTTCGCAGGGATCACACCCGCATTTTCAACCGGCAAAACAAGAAAAATTAAAAGAAAGAATGCGGGTGTGATCCCTGCGAAACGTCCCAGGTTTCTTATTTTATTTTATGTGTTTCTTTTTATTATTTGCAGCCTTAGTCCCGTTTTAAGTTGTTTCTCTGTTAACGTTTCGGGCCGATTAAGTTGTTTTTTCTTTTATGAAATAATCTACTTTAATTGAGTGCTTGAATGTAAAAAAAAAAAAAAAAACTATTACATACTTGAATGCTTCTATGACTGTTTATCATTATTCATTGAGGGTAAAAACTTTAATTAGAAAATGCTTAAATTATGGCCGGTGATTACTTCCAAGGACGTGAGAAGACTACATCATGACAAAACTTTTTTCGACAGACATTCGACTGTGGCTATCTACTGTTGCTTCCATGAAAAATTTTGAGGTTGGCCTGAAAAAGATTTTTGATTAATTAAAGTTCCCTTTTTAGTTTTGGGAAAATAAACAAAAAGACAGGTGAAAAAAACGTACTGACTACAGATCAATTAATAATTCAGTACTTATGAACTGAGCAAAAAGGTAAAAAGTATGCGTTGACTGAAAATTTACAAATATTTTAACTCTGCATACTCACAGGCCTCAAACGGAAAATGTGTTCAACAAATCATGTTTCAAATTGCAGGCTGATCATTGGAACTTTGTGTTTGTGTTTATGTTGGGTAGAGTTGATGACATGCCATCGGAAACTCAACAGTTGCCTTTAGTTTGTCAATTCTCCCCGACAAAGGTACAACAAAGCAGCAATAAGACCCGATCACTCTACACAATTTAACCTATGTCATCTATGTCTGGCTGACAAACAAAAATTTGCAATAATCGGCCTTCAGATCCAACTTGAGCTATAAATTTAGTTTCAAGTTTAGTTTCGTTTCAAAAAATATTCATCCCTTACCTCATTTACTTTATTCTTCATAAATTTTGGAGAGTGCTGATTGTTGAAAACAGAGGACAAAGGAGTATCACTAATCGAAAATACTTCAGAATATCCTGCCTGCAAAACATTAAGACAAATATACATTATGTTCACTGCTACTAAAAACTGGCAGTTTTGTTTATAAACAATGAGAAATTCAGCAGTACCTCTTCTTATTAATAAAATTGTTTAGAACGAGCAAAAATTTTGAAACGTCCAGATTGAGACAAAGTTTTTGAGTTTCACCATTAGTAACAAATATTGAATAATCTTTGAAACAAAAAGCTCACCTCCAATTCACGGATCCTGTCGTCTTTCTCTTTCAACTTGAGTTTCAACTCCTCCACTCTATCATCATCGATAACTTTCGGAGAATTGGCAGTGTTTTTTTCCAGCCGCAACTTCATTTCTAGTTGTGAGATAAGATCATTCTTGGCCTTGAGCTGCATTGAAAGGGAATCTATCTTGTACTGCAATTGACTCAGACACTCATCATTTTTCTCCTGGAATAAAGAAAAAAATATTAAAAGAGGACATTCGAAACAGGAAATATTCACATGAGACCTTAAAATTAGAAACAACTTCACAACTGAAGCTCCGCTACTCGTTAGTTTGTGCTTTGTGTTGTGGTGCACGAGCCATTACAGTGGTGGGGATCATCCATCATTCAAGGGTGAAGCAGAAATGAGAAATTCGTCTTTCAAGTGAGAAAATACAAAAAGAAAGACAGTTGAGAATGTCATTTCTATCTCTGCGTATACTGTTGCCAGTATGTAACCCAAAGATTACTGCAAGACCTAGAAATGTAGCAGGGAGGGTGATTGTAATCAAGCATAGAGTCTGGCACAGTTGAGGGTGCAATAGAGCTGCTACATTAACACTTTGACTCGCCCATTATAGAAATAAAGCTACTTGCTACAAAAATTTTCTTATGCTGCGAAGATGGTACATCAAACTGATAGGAAGAGAAATTTTTTATGATATCACAACTGATAAATCGGTATCAGTGCTATGAAAAGCACAAAACAAAAAAAAGAAGCCAAAGATAAGCCAATGATTGAGCTATCACTTGCTGTGCTTGTTATAGGAACATGTTCATTTGATTATCCTCCCTTATCTATTCTTTTGAGTTATAATGTCTTGAGAAGTGATTTCATTGTTTTAGCCTACCTTGCATCGGGCAGTTTTCAACTCCTTTCGCAACTCTTTGATGATGTCATCTTTAAAATGAGTTGACATTTCACTTTGCCGTACTTGTTCTTCTAACAATTGTATTTCATGCTTTAGTTTCAAATTCTGGTCATGCTTGGAGGCAACTTCCATAGCTAGGGACATCCTTGTTTCATGAAAGTTCTGCAAAAAATTAGAATTACAAATCAGAAAAATGACAGATAAGCCTGTGTAACCGAAAAAAATAAATTAAACTTTCAAGAGTGACTTTTAATTTTAGAATAATATGTAAATATCAGATACAGTGACAGAAAATAATTAACTACACATGAAAACTTGTCAAATATTTTCAGGAAGACATGTGAACAAGCTGAAAACCTGTATAAAGCTCAGAAAGCTGCAGGATTAACTTTTGCTCACAACATGGTTACTCGATGGAAACGATTACCTTCGTAATTACGCTGATCCAGATAGCAAAAGTTCATAACAATATGTGTGGAGTCTTTTTCGTGAGAAACCTGGCATGAATTGTCAGAGACCCTTTCACCGAAGAGTTCATTCTTTTACTCGCGATCATTAAACTTCCATTATTAGACAAGACTGTATGCTCCCCGAGAAGTTACTCTACATCATTACTAAAGAGTTACATTGAGATTGAGTGAACGTAGGAAATGACATTAGAGTTTCAACAAGATTAAAGGAAGCTGAGTGATATGTCTTTGACCTAATATTGGTGAAATTCTTGACAGAAAAACTAGGGTATACTAACAGGAGAAAGAGTGAAGAGTCTTGAGAATCAAATATTACGTACTTTCCGATTTTTCTCCATTTCTGTTTTCAACAATTCAACTTCTTGAACAATTTCTTGAAGGTAAGCCAACTGCTCGGACATTTTTGCTAGAGATTCATCTTTTTCTTCTAGGTTTGATTTCAAGTTATTGACATCATTTTCCTTCCGGCTAAGTTCTTCTTTAAGTAGCTTAATTTGGTTCTTGTAATCCTCTATCTAAAGATAAATAGAATAAAAAAATTAAAGTATCAGGCAAATTTGAGGCAATCAATTAAAACATGTGAGGCATGTAAGTGCAAAAAGGGCACTCTTAGTTGCGAATTTTCAGAACCTCTGTCGCAATTTTCCTTCGAGCAGAATCTCATGGGTGATATTCCCAGTATTGTTTCCATGAAACGTTATAGAAGCAGAAAATCTATGATCGGTCCATCAAGTTCTTCGTAAAATTTCGATTTGGAAACAAATTTTTATTTTATTTTATTTTGCCGTTGGTACATTTACTCCCCTTTGGGTATTGTACAAGTCAAATATTACAGTGCTCAACTCCATACTCTGTCTATCAGTACATTAATGTCTAAACATAGAGAGATGATAGATTTATAAACGCAGCTCAGTATAAAGGTTAATATAGAAGAAAGGAACAAACCATTGAGTTCAGATGCTCCAATTCAAATGAATGAGACTTTGTAATTATCCTAGAATTATCTCCACTAGAAAACATTATTGCGGGGTGAGAGCTATCGTACTGAAAAATAAAAGAAAACAAATAAACAGCCATTGATAATACATTTTTCATATTCCTTGATTTCTGGAATCACAAATAATGGATGAGATGGTTTGAGGGCACATCCATGCATGTATTACATCTTGCCTGCAGCGTCCAGTCAGGATAGACATTAATTGTTTTACATGCATTTAAATGGATTAAACCTGGTGTTACCTAACATGCAATCATCACCATTGCTGCTTCAGTTCAATCTTTCTCATTACTTAGCAAAAGTCAGGCTGTATGCTGCCAACACTGAGGTCCCAGGTTCAATGCCCGGAGGTGACTGATATTTGAGGACACTCAATTATCAGTCATGCATCTGCCACCGTCGTTGATAAGACCTTTGATTGGCTGATCAGATGGCCGCGGAGCCTTGCGGGAATATGGAATGCATCAATAGTACGAAGTTAAGGAGCACAGTCCAACTTCGGGGTGCACAATGGCAGTAGCCAGTTGCCTTGGTCCCTTGAGGACGCCTCGCCGGTAAGCCCGGTCCTTACTTACTTAGCAAAAGACAGGTTTCACATAATTATGTCATTTGCATCAAAATTGAAATTAAAAAAGGTACGGAGAATTAAACATACTTAGTTTTTGTTCAAGGATATTGATTCTTCAACAACTTGGGCCAACATTTTTTTGAAATCACAAATTACTTAACTTGAAAAACTTCCATTTGAAAAAAATAAAAAAGTTGCCCAAAAAAAGCCTTTGCAATGAGATAACAATGCTCTTACCAATGGCTGCTCCACACGTTCAAGCAGCTTCTCCATACATAATCGGTATTTTTCGAAACCAGCTTCTTTCTTTGAGTATTTTTGCTTTAATTCTTCATTTTCCATTCTCAGACGTTGAAGATCATCAAGACTACAAACAAAATGGATACAAATTTTAAACAGAAGAAAGAAATATTTGAGCAAGATTTTTGGTGATAAAAATGCTTTCAGGTTTGCTTACTAATTCTGAAAATATCTTCCAAATACTTTCCACTTTCCATATATCTCTACAAAGCTAAGTCATTATTTTAGCATCAGAAGCATGGTTACTTTCAAAGCTGTTGTTTCCTACCAAATTACTTCAATTGTTTCATTCAGGAATCATGACAAATTCTCTTATTTTCTTTTAATCATAACAAATTCTCTTATTTTGCATTATGAGTGCGTTTAAAATAGGAGGTTAACATGGAGGATTGGATTTACTACACTTATGCTAGACTTGATGATTTACGCACGTTAATGTGCCCTCCAGAAAAATATATAGAATTTTAAAGGAAATGAAGTATTTTTATCAACAAGCTGGATAAAGTCTCTCTTCAGAAACTTTTTCTACCAAAAAAGGTCGAAATCGAGGTGAATGGGTGTGCATTCACGAAAGAGTCAATTCTATTGTGAGTAATGCCAGTCAAGACGTTTACCTTACAATCTAGTTATACAAGAAAAATATGAAAACGAGATCTCTTACCTAATTCCTAGGAAACTCTGGCTTAAGGCTGAATCTTGCAGGTCCTGAGAGGAACATAAAACAAAATTTGTTACAGAATGATGTTGAAGCAAAGAAAAAAAAAGATTACCAACTAAAATATAAGGATCAAGAAAATTTTAAAAATGATCTATTGACGTCACTGAATTAATCCTCTACTTACTACATTCACAAAGAAACTGCAAAAATATGTATTTATGTATTTTCTTTCTTTCATTCTCAATAAATCGCGCAAAATTCCAAGAATCCATTTTGAATATAGTTCTTTTGGGAAAATGAAACACAACCAGAGATTTTTGGACATTCCCATTAAGATACGGATTTTTTGCATTTAGCCATTGCACTTATGCAGACTCATTGCTGAATGTTCAGAAATTTAATGATGAGAATATTAAGAGCATAAAGTATTAAAATTATTCTTCAAATTAGCTTACTTTAAGAGTCGACTATTTTACACCATCACTGCCTTCTTTGGTTAAAAATTACTTTTCTAGAGGAAAAGCAAGTAGTAAACAAAATACCCATACAATTTGGGGAGGAAAAAAAAAGTAAGTAAATTTACAATTGAGCAAAATTTAAAATTCTGGCTCTGTACACTTCAAACTGGGTTCTAAGCACTCACAAAATCACTCATAACTGCTTTGACCATTGATGATTAAACTATGAAAACAAAAACACACATTTATGATATGATTGCAATTCTTGTTTCTTTTTGGAACTTAGAACTACTTTTTCCGTTGTGATTCATTATTAAAATATAATAGTGCAGAAATATGAGAATTTCAGAGTCTATATTATGCAACGCTTTTCGAATTTCCGCCGATTCAGATGTGATGCTGTGTGAGCAGGTTGATACTACTAGATGAGAGACTCACTGCAATAAGAGGGCAATTGTTGTTGCTCCAGTGTGAGTGTCATTAAAATTTGATGCCATCAATAACTCATGATCCAACACTGAGTCAATAGCGGTTATGGGGGCCTGCTGTTTGAGAGAAGTATAAATTCGAGAATACACCAGGACGTTAGCAGAGGCTAAATATTTGCACATTCAACCTCATAGTTTCAATGAGTGGGATGGAACAGATTGGGAGTGAGTATAGATGAGTTTTGGGGCTTTTCAGAAAAAATTTCTCTGATAGTAATAATTATAATCGTCAGCCTCCAAATTAATTTCAATTAAAAGAATTAGAATTTTTAGAAACGCCTCCTATATTTCAGTCCTTTCCGATAGAATCATTTTGGTACAGATTAATCTTCCGCAAATCACTTCAGCACAATATTTGAAATTAATGGTTAACAATTCTAAATACTAATTCTTGAGAAAGTTTGAAAAAAAAATTTCCCCTCTAAAAAATAGAAAAAAACCCAACATAAGACAAGCAAAATAAACCTGCATTAATGATCAATTCCGATCAATGGCTGTGCCATTTTTCTTGAATGAAAGGAAGTCAATAGAGAGCTTTGGAATTCATTATTTTTATTAGACTTTGAAGGGTTCAGCTGTTCAAGACGTATCAATCTGCAAGGGCAATTTCGTTATTGCAGCTTAATTTTTTAAATACACACATCGCGGCAAGAATAAATGGAAAGTTTGATATTGACACAAGGAATTATGTATTATAGAGAAAGAGGGGGGGGGGGGCTTCCAAAGAATGAATGAACAGACTCTTCATAGGGTCTCTTTCGGATTTTGTGAATCTTATGGGGCATTGAGGCTGGCAGGTTCAACATCAAAAAAATCTTGAAGAGTTGCTGGGCGACGAGGCTTTCCGAGAATGTCATCATGTTGGCCCAGTACAAATAAACAAGATTGATCTCTGTACATATGTGAGAGATAGAATGTATTAGTTTTAAAATATATTACAGTCAGGCTCAAAAATAACCTAACAATATACAAATAGTAACGGAGTAAAAAGAGCACCTCTTTTTTTTTCCTAGGTATGCCAACTTAAAAGGAGCATAGGTAAAATATAAAATCGTTAACTTGGAAAAAAAAATTATGAGGACCATCCATCATTGGTAAAAAAATTATTCACGTTTTGGCCGGCTTAAAGAACAGCAAAATCATCATGTCTGAAATGACCTGTAATGATCTTAGGCCTATCTTACCCGAACTGATGTACTTACATTTGGAGAGAGCATACGGGTGAAAACATGGAATTACTGAGAAATATAAAGAAATTTTTAAATGCTGATTACTTAGTTCAAAATGAAACATTCGAGTTTGGAGCTCAGTACTAATCTACTGGTTAGTTCATAAACTTTTTGATCCCCTTATTTATCATAACTTTTCTCACACATACCAAGAGATAAAGGATAGATAATAATAATGTAAGTTGGGTATGGTATTTATTATGAGAGGGGGAAAAAGGTATGTTTCCACCAAAACTCACCGATTAGAAGGAATATCTAAATCCTCATCACAATGGATGGAAGGAGAGCACGGAGGAGGACAACAACCAAAAATATCTTGATACGTCAGTGCTTTGAACTGCAGATTTTTAAGGTCCCACTTCTGATAAGTTCTAAACCGACGTATAAGTTCCAACAGTGAGGCTAGGTCATTTCGTAAATTTTGAATTATTAGTTCATTTTCTCTTGCTTTTACAACCAGCTCAGTCTATTTGCAAGTAGAGGAAAAAGGATGTTAAATTTTGGAGATGGAGGGGAAAAGGTTGTTGTGATGAGCACGAGATAGAGGAGAAGTTAGAAAAAAAAGAAAAAAAAAAATACCTACTCCAAGAAAGAAGTTATTGGTTTACTTGTGAAGAGACTTCAAACACCCTTTTTTAGCTATCGATTCGATCAAGAATTGCAATCACACATAATTAGTGCAGACTTGGGAGTATAGAGTATGCATAGAGTTAGTATAGAGTTGTATCAACAGGAGTGAAGGCATAGTGAGAGGCTGACTTTTGCTAGAGGTACCTGACACGAAGAAAGGTTCAGTCTTAAAAGAAATAGAGAAAAAACTATTCGAATTATTATCGAAATATTACCTTGACATAAATAGTTGGAAAGGGCCACTAAACTACAAAGGCATTCAGCGACAAATAAGGGCGCCTATAAAAATCTAATCATGTGCAATTTTGTGAGTATCTTAATAAAAAAAAGTTTGAAGAAAAGGCTGACTTCTTGAGACTCACCACTGTCCTATTAGATACGAGTGAGTCATGGAATGAATTGCGAGTTCTGCTGAAATCCGATGTGGTGTGGCTTAGACTGTTAGCTTTAACCAACGCCTCTGCCTCAAGCTCTTCCAAAGTTGTTGCCAATAGTGAATTTTGTTCTGTCAGATCTTCAACCCAGTCTTGCAAGGTTCTTATTTTTAACTAAAACCAAAAATATGTTTAAAAAATTAGGAATAGATAATAAAAGTAATAAACTCATGAGATATCCAAAATTTCTAGCAGTTGGGCATTCAAGAGGAATGAATACTTTCAGCTGAAAAATGCAGAGACTAAAGAGATTAGGGCGCATTTTAAGTATCCGATTTTTTCAGATTTACACATCTCCCGTGTACACTTTCATCCGTCATTCTAGGACTTAAAAACTGAAACTTTATTTTCTAAAGATAATTACAAAAAAGAAGGCAATTTACATTGAGCCATGAAATTTTATAAATATGGGTAGGTACTAAAATTACCTCAAATTCAGACATTTATGGATCGATGTTTAGAGCAGCAGGATCAAAAAAGTAGATGACATCTGTAAAAAACTACTAGTATTGTATGATTTATTCGTAATAAATCTGTGAAAAAGGTGGCTTTTAAAATGGCTCTAAGCTAACTACTTGAATGACGGTAAAAAGTTCCAAAACCTTGCGAGTTATTTCACGAGTACCAAGATTAAAACGCTGTCAATGTAGCTTTCACCATTTACAGGATTTTTAGCTTAGGAGTAGTCAGTCGAAACGGAATACACTTTTTATTAAACTCTTTTTAACACTTGCAATCCTAGAAAGGCTGGTAACCACAGTGCTCTCGAATGAATTAAAAATGAAGGTTAAGTTTTTACGCAAGAGAAAAAAAAATAAATGCTGATAAAGGATTAGAACACAAACCTCTGAGAGTTCAGGGCTCTTATCGCTAGCTTCATTAAGCAGTTTCATGCGCTTCCGATATACTTCTTGAAATTCTTCAATAACTTTAAGCGAGTCCTTATGATCACAATCAGCAGCTTTGATTGCACTTTTTCTGTAAGCTTCATTGTTTCTACAGATTTCTGAAATCTGCTGTCCCTCGGAGGATGAACTCATGATGAAGGTTGAATCATGAGAGCAACAAATACAGATTTATTGGGGAATCTAAACAAAACATAAGTACAGCAGTGACTAGAATTTGAAAGTTTTCCATACATAAACAACAACAACTTACGCGATCGGCACAAAATAATATTTCACCTACTTTGCGAGAAATGATATGAAAGTTATCACATTTGACGAATAGAATTAAGACACAAAATAAAAGTAATGTAAACAGTTGGGACAAAAATAATAAGTTGGGTATGGAATTTCGAAGGTCACTTGATACTAAACTTGCTAGGTCGCGGTTCTCACATGGTCAAATATTGTTGTTTATCACTGCATAGCAGCATAGCAGCTCTCGCATGCTCATAACCAGTTCTTGCGTCATTCTCTGCACCGCCACCAGAGCGCTAGCCTCGCGAACTTGCGAACCTCTGCGAACCATTTCAGTCGACTTGGTGAGTCACCGACATTCGCCCAACTTGCGCTCGCTGGCAGTAAGTTCACGTCTGCTACATGTCTGAGGGATGCCAATTTTTTTCTCTCTCCTTTTATTTCTTTTTTTCTTCTCACACCAATGAATTGCTGGGCAGTTTGCGCAGTTGTGAACTGATAACAAAATTAGTAACTTTTCAAACTTGCGATTTTTTTTTCTTTCTTTCTTTTTTTTCATTACATTGGACGGGGCGCAATTTCTGAGTAGAAATTGGAGACTTTGGCAGAATTTCAATATAAGTTACTTTCGAGCTGGTGAGTGAAAAATCGATCGAATTATGGGGAAAAAATTTCGATCATGAAGAAAATAAAAAAGTCGTTCCTGCTGAAAACATACCTCATCTACGACCTTTTCATGTAAATCATTAATATCCATGAACTTGCAAGGAAATTCGTTCAATTTGCAAGAAAATTTACCGGCCATGCCTCATGAAAATATGGTCATAAACTTTGATTTTTTTTAAAAAAAAAAAAAAAAATCTTTCCGACTAATAAAATTAGACAAAAGGAGCGACGCAGCCCAAATTTGAGGAGGGAAAGAGCGGAAAATACTATAATTTTCACTAATATATGAATACTTTATTGTGCTAACGTTTTGCCATTGCATCTAGGAAATCATATCCCTGATAAAAATTGGCAGTAGAATCTGTGCTCCAAAATACCATAGACCTACAGCCGGCTGTAAGATTTCCAATAGCTTCTATAGCCGGCAACACAATTTCTTATAGCCTTTTATAGCCGATGGCGATTAAGCAACAGCCTGGCGATAAAGTGTATGCTAAACGTTACTAATTACGGATGCTAGGACTTAGTGAGTTTTCGAACTACCGCTCTCTTTTTGGGCCGTAGTATCTTGATTTATTTTGCGAGGAAAGCTCCGTACTTTTGAAGAATGCCTGTCATTCCTAATATGTTGAAGCGCCTTCAATTTCGTATGATACTCTGCAATACCTCTGGTGTGAAATAGTTGCTTCAAGCGCCGTGGTACGCTGCGGCGCGGCGCGGCGGGCGGGCGGGCAGCCAGCGCGATTCGCGCATTGGCGCCTACAAACCCAACAGGGATACTTCACGCATTGCGCAATGCGTGAAGTATCCCTGTTAGGTTTGTAGGCTCCAGTGCGCCGCCGCTTCGCTTTGTGTTAGGCTCTAATGTTTAATCTCGTAGAGTCAGCGTTTTTCAACTCATGACTTTGAAATGTTTGCACACTCTTTATTAAGGTGATTCCGCACAAACTTAATGATTTACAAAGCACACGAATTTCTACACAATTTCTTATAGCTTTTTATAGCCGATGGCGAAAAAGCAATAGCCAGGCGATAAGGTGTAAAGCCCGGCGATAGGAACTATAGCCCGGCTGTATAATTTTTTATCGCTTTGTGTAGCCCGGCCGTATGATTTTTTCCACTTTCTACAGTCAGCTATATGATTTTCTATAGCCTTCTTCAGACGGCCATAAGAACTCCTATGGTATTTTGAAACGCAGCTCCTATAGCCAATTTTTACCAGGGATACCCGTGTGCATCTTACTACGTGTATTAGGAAAGATGGAATAGTCACCGTTTTTGTTCCGACTTCTGGGTGATTCATCAGGATTGTTCTTTGGGAATTTCGCTTTAAACGTCAAAATTAGATTTACTGAAGGAAAAATAATTTCAAACAAAAACTACTCATTAAAATAGGTTACATATCATGCTCAGATAGGAATCTAATTGTTTTGCGAGTTCAAGGGCCTGCAATGTTGTAATACATTTAAATAATGCATTTCTCGGAAAATGTACAATGTAGCCTAAAAAATCAATAATAGTATATTTCATCGCCAAAATAGGCAGCGCTGGTATTAGGTTAAGATAATAGAGAAAGAATCAAAGCTCAGTTAGTGCTCCATGCGATGGATACTGAACGAATTTCATTTTACCTCCTGGATGCAACTATTCGAGCTTTATGGATGTCCGTGTTGCATACGCACGAAAGTGAAGGCGTTTTGACTTCACGCATCAACCGCCTTTTTAACAGCGGCCGACGCTCAGTGGAGCGAGTCAATGAGGAGAGTCTCACAAAATGTGGAAAACGGAACGTTAAAGTTTTAGATATAGTTCAATTGACTTTCTCGTTGAATTGCCCTCCAGAAGTATCTCATACAATTTATCGACGGCGTAAGTCGGCAATCACATAACTCGTATGTGGTTCTGAAAATCTCCGCCTCTAAGTTGTTCTTTTTAATGGAGAACGAATTGACATCATTCCTTGAAGTTTATGCAGAATTTTCTTCGCACAGAGAAGATAAATCACGGCAGTTTTAAAGAATTGCCGTTGACCAGTTTTCCGTTTAAAAAATGAAGCATGACAGGAAGTCTGCGACGTCGCAAACCGAGTTGTGTGATAGCCGACCTACACCGTCGTTATACTGTGAAAAAATGAACATCAAAATTTGCAGTTATAGTCGAAAATTGCACGTCCAACCTCTCTGAAATGTTCGTTTCATTGTGCGGCGGGATTCACTGCAAGGATATAAAATGACTGAGTTCCCTCAATTTTGCATTTATACTTCAATGGCATCTCTATAGGCATGAGCAGTTGCCCTATACAAATCATGTTCAGCACATCGTGGTAGGTATCAAAACTAAAGCACAAATGATACTCACATCCCATGTCTCTATGCTAACTATTCGTGCCTAGGAGATTTCTTTGTAATGTACCTAGGTAAACGAAGAATTGAAAGTGCTCTGCCATTTCTCATCCTCTCAGAATGATAAAGCTTGCAGTTAGCGACGCGCGGGAAGTGGTGAATGCATGGACAATCAATAACGCCTTTACTCCTGAGCGTATGCAACACGGACATCCATAGAGCCCGAAAAGTTGCATCCAGGAGTTAAAATGAAAGGATGATGTTCATCGCATTCGATACCAACTGGGAACCAAGGGACTTTTGCTTGTTTGTTTTACACCGTAACTTAATTCTAGCCTTGATATTGTGCCGATAAAGTAAACTATTACTGATTTTTATCACTACATTGTCAATTTTTCGAATCATTATTTATTTATTGCTGCTTCATTTATGACAACTTTGCCGTCCTAAAATGTGGGTTGTATCCCCATAACTCCTCCCATTTATGAGTGACGAATGCGCCATAGTTTCATTACTTTCTCGAAATTCACGAGAATAAGACTGCTCAAATCGTAAATCCCACCACACATGCAAGAGCTCCATTATAAAATGCTTGTCAAGAGTAGTTGTCATTTGGGGGGTGCACGACGATTCGTCTTCTATTTGATAGACGAAAGAGCACCGTAATTTGCGTTTTTGTCGCGTCGAGACAAACACGTCACACACGTCCGTCCCCGGCACGGTCTGACTGACCGCCGCGCGCCGCGTCGCTCGGTGGATCGAGTCAATCAGAGAGGTCGGACATGAAAATTTTTGACCAAAACTGCAAATTTTGATGTTTATTTCGTCACATTTTAAATTTAAAGAGGTGCTCCTGCAAGAAAATATCACGAGAAAACCAATGGGCCCACTTTTAGAGCGTCAAATTCTTGTATAAACGGAGTTATAAGCTTTTAAAGTTTCCAAATTTTGTCTGACCTCTCCTGTTGACTCGATCCACTGTGCGCCGCGCTGCGATATGCGTCTGGAATAGTCGTAGACGTCATGCCGGGGCACGGCGTCATAAAATTGACCCGAGACGCGGCACGGAGCACCGATCTACCGTCTGTGCTCTGTGAACGTAATGTAAAAATACGTCATGCCATTGAGATAAGATGAACGAGCTTTCGAACGTCGGTTAGTTCATGGCTCTGGGTTAAGTTCTATTGTGTTCGAATACATTTTCAGAACAACCTGTATGGTTGTCTATCGCTGGGGATTGAGTTGCGTTGAGGATCGTGGAAATCACCCCGTATATATATTGAAATTGATGGTCAAAGTGCGAGATCACGAGTCCCCATTTGCGACACCGCACACGGAGAAAAATCTATGGCTTTATAAACCAGTTAGTGGTTCATATGGAACTCTACTAATGGTCGTAAATTAACTAATAATTCTCGATCTGTGAACCATACTAAGGTATCTCGTACCATCACTGAGGTATAAATGTATGTGCTATTATTATATGAGGACTTATGTGTAAAAATGGCGTATGTGAGAAATTCCCTTTTCGAAACAAGTTCAAAAAACTGTTTTGGCATCGAGAAAATTTGAGAAAATTCTTGAGATGTGATCTTCGAGATCTGTACATTATGTCAGAGCCGAAAAACATATTAGATTTTTGTGTGACCAAAACAGTTTTTTAAGCGTGTTTCGGAAAGGTAATTTTTTACATTGTCATATATTAATTGTCACATATAAGTCCTCATATGGTGCCTTTACTACTATTAGTGGTGTTCCATATATTATACACTAATTGGTTTGTAAGCCATAGCTTTCTCTCAATGCAGACCGGGATGTTTTTCGTCTGAAAAGGATGGAAAAATTATTTTATACAGCCGTAATGTGAGGCTGATCCCACATATTCAAGCTTGCTGTTTAGATAAAAAATTATCTCATTTACATCGCTTTATCTATAAATTATCCGAAAAATTGAATTCTCAAAAGTTCCTATTCCTTGATATTTTTTTTTAAAATTTAATTGATGCTATCATATTTCTTAATGAATTTTCGTCGGAATAAACAAAATTGCCGCTATTGCGCCTTCAAATTTGGCGATGCCACCCAACTCAACACAGAAGTTAATTAAGTTGTATCCATCGATTGGCTGTTTTCTGAATGTTTCTTCGTATCCTGAGGACCCATATACTTACATTTGAGGAATTATCAATACATTGACA